CCATCTGCGTCACTGTTTTTCACACCGGGCTTGTAGTGGATATGGAATCGGAAATCTGCCAACATGGAAACCCACCTTAATCTCGTAGCATCTAGCTTTGGGGCGGTGAATACATATCGCAATGGGTTATAGTCACTGTACACTTCAAAATGAGTGGCATAGTAAAGGTAATCTCTAAATCGCTCTGTCACTGCCCATTTGAGTGCTAGGAATTCTAATTTTCCGGAGTGAAGGTGGTAGTTTTGTTCAGCTGGTGTCAGTGTCCTAGACGCATAAGCAACTACAGCCAGCTTGTCATTATCCTGTTTCTGATAAAGGATAGCTCCCAAGCCCATTTGTGATGCATCAATGTGGAGAGTATAAGGTTTGTTGAAATCAGGATAAGCCATCACTGGTGGGTGAAGTAGGACATCAATGAGATCCTCTAAGATACTTTGGTGTTCAGCTGTCCATGTAATCCGCACTGATGAACTCTTCTGTCCTGATTTCTGAGACTTGGTTTTCTTCTGCTTCTTCCCCAATAAGGGTGCATCATTGTCACCTTTCAGTAAATCGTAGATGGGTTTTGCTCTACGGGAGAAATTTGGGATATAACTCCTGTAATATCCGATAAAGCCCATCACTTTCCGTACATCTCCAACTGTTTGAAACCTCTGATCCTTTAATTTCAACACTGCCTCCTGGTCATTTGGGTCTACAGTATGACCCTGTGTAGTGACTAGGTGACCCAAGTAACGGATCTGTTTCTGAAAGATATGGCATTTACTAGGTTTCAATTTCAGTCCCTTCTCCTTCATACGACGCAACACACACTGAAGGTCATTCAAATGAGCCTCAAAAGAATTACTGTACACCAAAATGTCATCTAAGTATGGGAGGCAACACTTATCTCTGAGTCCTTCTAGAGCTTCATTCATGTATGCTTGGAATATTCCAGGAGCACCTGTTAGTCCAAATGGAATACGATTCCACTCGTACTGTCCCCATGGTGTCACAAATGAAGTGTACTTTCTGCATTCCTCTTTCACAAAACCCTGATGGTATGCTTTACTTTGATCAAGAAGTGAGAACCAGCGACTTCCTCCCAAGGAATCGAGTGCATCCTGTACTCGTGGAATTGGATGTTGGTTGTGGACAGTTTTTGCGTTTAACTTCCTATAGTCAACACATAAACGGAGTGATCCGTCCTTCTTCCTTACACACACAATAGGACTAGAGTATGGGGATGTTGATCTTCGAATCCAACGTTTCTGTAACAAGTTGGCAATATAATCTTTAACTTCTTGGTAAAGAGGCCTCGGTACAGCCATGTAAGAACTATGCACTGGTTCTTTGTCCATCAGTTCTAACTCCAACTGCAGATCCACGGCACAACCGATATCATCATCATCACATGTAAACGCCTCACATTCCTCCCTCAATAGCTCCTGGACTTTCTTTTTCTGGTCTGGGGTAAGGGAACAGTTTGAAAGATCAACAGGCGGATCCCACTTTTCACAATTTTTAGTACTCACTTTATTTACTACTGTCTGAACACTATTAGATCCTGTAGTCTCAAAGTGAATTGATGAACAAATCCTTTCAACATGTCCTAAAGGTGTTCCTTTTGGGAGGACAGAGTCCATTTTGGATGGATTAGACAACAACAATTTGACGTGTCTAGTACGCTTTGGCTTCACATCAATGAGCATTTCCTGTGATGTAACTCCATAGGCATCCAATTCTTGAGACGGAATGAAGACAGCCTTAGTGCCATGCTGAAGTTGTCTGGTCTTGAATGGTACTTTGACGATTATCGACGACTGCCTTGGTACGGTTATATTCCTGCGTCCTACCTTGACCATTCCCAGTGTTCCGTCTCCCGTGTCTTTCAACTCCCGGTAGAGGGCGTTGACCTGAGCCTCATCAGCCGCTGGAAGAGTACACTTTAACAAGTCAACAGCATCACTACTATGTACAGTTTGTAACAGGTGTTGTATAATATTATACCCAAGAATAGGTTCATTCATACCAGATACATTGGTGATCAGAAAAGGCACCTGAATTTCACTACCTTGTTTTAACAATTTCAAACTGACAGTAAGAACACCTTCAATAGGTATATCTGAGCCCGAGGCAGATACTAATGAAAATTTCTCCGACTGTAAAAATTCTTCAACACTCTTAACACTTTCAACTACATCTGGACAATAATTCATGACCCATGACTTACTTAACAGTGAAACTTGGGCCCCTGTATCCCACAATGCTTTCACAGGTTTCTCATTCAATAATACACAAACATGACATGGCTTACTGACAAGTTTTACAATGTTCGGCCCAATATCATAAACATCACCTTTGATTTCATTTACAGAAATTGCAGAAAAATTGTTAGGTTGACATTCAGCAAAAAATTTTGTGTTCATATATTTGACAGCATTACAAATTTTCTTATGTTCAACCCAATGTGCTTTTTGACAATTTACACTACAATATGTGGCTAAATGACAACTTGTGCAAACTTTGATAGTTTCACTTGACAATTGACGATGACATGATAAACAACTCTTGGGACATTCCATTTGCTGGGCCGCCAACTGTCCCTCTAAGACGACCCGCTGCGGTTTCCCGATGGGTGAGACTTCCTGTTTGGGCACTGTTGTCGACGATGACCGGATCCACCACATGTCCAGCAGTGGTCGCAACGCTTGCCGGTGGCTTGGCAGTCGGCACATCCTGGTCTGCTCCTTGCGTTTACTGGTTGCGTCCTCACATCACTTTGGGAATGTCCTACTATTTCTTTCAGTTTATTCATCTCGAGCCGTAAAGATTTAATTTCACTCGCAAGGTCATTTTTCACGGCCTCTTTCACAGAGTTGATCTCCAAGGTAGAGTTAATTTGAGACACCGAGTGTTTAGATTGGAGTTTGTTAAGTCTTTCACTCTCTTGTATAAGAATCTGATTCAGCTCATGCATGAGCTCTGCATCTGATATAGTCACTTTGTCCAAATGTTTCCTCATCTCATGTCGTAATGTTGTGTCCCGTAACCCTGTGTAAACTGTTCTTCTGAATAGACCAGCAACCAGTTCTGGACTGTATTTGAGTTCACTGTTATCTTCCTGCGAAGCAAACAGAATCCGGTTCCTGAGGTCCATCACACGCAAAAGGAAATCATTAGGGTTTTCCTTCGGATTTTGGGTCGCGCTGGCAAGTTCACTGTACAACTCAGTAGCATTTTTTTCTGCATAGTGTCCTCTTAGAATACTCCTCAGAGTAGCCAGATTTATGTCAGGTCGTCCATCAAGGTAACTACGAAGACTCGAGGATGGAACAACTGCCTTGATCACCCCATCAATAATGTCAACCTCCGAATATCCCTTCTGTTTACCAGTTTCAATTTGTCGAATTAGGCTTGTGTAAGATATCCCTGCCTTACAATCAACCTGGCCACTGATTTTAAAGTCCTTATGTAGCTTTACCGCTGTGGGATTTTCTTTCTTGACTTCCGGTTTCTTTTCTATTTCTTCTTCAGAAATCCCTGGAGACTTAGTGTCCTTCACACTTGCAGTTTCCGCTTTCATACCCACAGTTTTTTCAAGTTCTTTCTGAGCTGCCTCTGCTAAAGTATATTTTACTGAGAGCAATGTGGTTCCAGACTGTGCGCCTTCCATCTCCTTCATGAAGAATTTATCTGCCTGCATAGCCACCACTAGTCGACCCTTGGAAGCATCAACAGTCTCCCCGAATTCCTCCAGAATTCCCTTCAGTACGTCCAGTGGTGCCATCATCAGCTTTGACCTCACCCCCAACATTTCCTCTGTCAACTCTGCCATGATAAGAATCCCGGACGAGCCCCCAAAATGTTACCCTGGCCTGGCAGAATCTAAAAAGAACAGGAGAGGTGAAGTACGTTACGTTTATTTGGCGGGTTTCAGCAACAATAAAAAGTCTAACACAAGATACGCATTATTATACATACATACACTCATTTAGTCTAGGGGATTTACAACTACTAATTTACTATGACATCAAAATATCACTGACTAGAATAAAACATGTGGCTAGTAGATTCCGTTTGATAAGTTATCAATAAAATATTTTATAATACCATATCTTTATGTCCGAAACAGCCAAAACACATTTACATCTGTATTTGTTGACGTTTTGTCTCAAACCGGAAACAGATTACACTACTCTAAAACATGACTCTAATCCGTGCAACTCAACTAATTCCGGAAACAAATGAAATTGTATATATTCTTTAGAAAATCAAATCTATATGTTTAGCAAAAACTTTCTGTGATTATAACATAACAATTCTGTACATATAACCTGTTCACTATTGTTTAAACTCAAAATAAAGACTTTTCACTGAACTCTACCCACGTGACTAGACCATGCTGCATCAAAATACTAGCGAATACATTGAAATTCACCTAATCGCAATATTTTGAGAAACAAAATGTCTTATATCAAACATATTATATATCAAGAAAACAGTTACAAACATGTTAACATGTACAAATTTATGTTCTTACCTAAAAAGAACAGGAGAGGTGAAGTACGTTACGTTTATTTGGCGGGTTTCAGCAACAATAAAAGTTTAACCCAAGATACCCCACATTCCGGATTTACACACATCCAAGAGTTATCTCTCTTTGATCATAAATTCTATAACAGACTAATACATTATACAAAAAAATGGGGGTGGCTGAAACCCAATATAAACTACGTCACACAATATTATGATAATTTAACAAAGATGTAATTTTTTAAACACATCAAGCAAAATACACAAATGCAAAAAAAAAATCAGTTTAAGGTACTTTAATTTGGATAAAAGATTAAATTAGCTTTTTTATTTCTACATATTTTTTAAATTTTTTTTTTCGAGCCGTTGTATATCAACGAAGAAGAAAAGTGACATGTGCTGATAATGGTTGCATTTCTGAATGAAAACGGCTAATTTCGTATGCAATGGTATGGCTGTTCCCATTGGCTGTTCCATCTATTGAGCACAGACACCGATCGTCGCCGATGTTTACAATATTTACCGACAATTAAATTCCCCGGCCTGAGGTATCGCTTACTAGTGTCCTGAATTCCCCGATTAATAAGTGCAATTAAAAGGACTCTTATTTTTTGTTAATTAGATGCGAGCGGACCATCAGGTGTGCGGAATCGCGATTGGCCAGCGTCGAGCTCTGCGAACATCGGCACCACACCCTATAGCTCATCGCACGACGAGGCCGAATTGTTATTACTGACAATCGCTCTGGACGCCATTAAATTGTGTGGTTGAATTTGGGACTTAGAAGCCCCCATGTGCGGGTGAAATTTACACGGTGTACATCACCCCCAGCTTTTACTGAACGCTGAAAAATCGGCGTATTTAGTCGACGAGGCAGCGGCCAATATTCTAATCGGGGGACTCGGTCGAACGTCAATGTGAGAAAATGGCATGTTGTTTAAGCGACGAAGCGAAGGAACAGCGCCGAATTAATGAGCAAATAGAGAGGGAGATTCGGCGAGACAAAAGGAACCAGCGGAGAGAACTAAAGCTTCTTTTGCTAGGTAAGAATGCGAGATTTTTCCCGGCAAATACGGGACTGAAAATGATGACTTTAGATGCTGATCCCGAAATCGCCGCCATTTTGAATAATTATGGTCTTGATTCACATGAAAATAAACCGGGTTTTTGTCATTTATTAAGCGTCTTGTCGAAGTTAGACCTTGAATTTTCAGTTATGAGAGTAATTACAAATTATATATTGGGTTCACTTGTTTAGGGGATTAAGAATTCAACACTAGATAATGATAAAACCCGAGATGCATGTTGATGCAGTTTTTAGCGAAATGCATCTTGTGTCATGGCGAAATATGCAGCTTTTTCCAACGACACAGTTGAACATAGCATGCTGGAATGTTTTCAGAACTTAAGACAATCTTACAAACACACAATTTTACATGCAAGCAGTCTTGCAGTATTATTTTTACCCCATTGAAACATGGCTTTGCATCACAGTATTTGACGCCATTTTGAATAATTAAGTTGTGTTCACAGTGTATTGAATAGACTTGAAAGAAGAAAGTATTAAGCCTAGTTATCACATAGTCCTCTTCTATGTTTCATCACGGGTGTCGCAATACATAGCAATGTAACCAAGTGTCAAATTGGGTCAGTTGACCTAATTTAGAATTGCAGTGTACACGCCATTTTGATAATAATATTGGATTGGCCAGTCTATAGGTAGTGTATATTTTTAGAGAAACGTCATCAATTTGAAAGTGAAACTTTAAATTGTTTGATGATATTGATGAACTGTAGTTTCGTCCACATCTTGTTTCATGGTATAGTCTTGGAGAAGTTGTTTTTCTTGTGTATGATTTTATATTTTTTGGTTAATCGTAGATCCAAGCAGCTGTTTCAAATGTTGCAGGTTCAACTCGGAGCAGGGACACATACTGTCCCATTCCCTCTGTTACGCTAGTACATGTGTAAAGAGACAATTATGGATACCTGTCAAATAAGAATATTTTGATAAGAAATTCAAATTCAGTGATGTCTGATTATTACTGCAAGGATTGGGTGCATCTTGTGTGGTGCAACTGATGAAGCTCTTTACGTATTACAGGGTGTATCCCAAGTTGATTAGTTGACAACATATATACAACATTTTTTTCTCGATAGAGAGGACTTCACAAATGTCTGTAAATTGTATGTAGTATTGCACGTCATTGCAGAGATTCAAACTCCTGACTGTGAATAACACACTTGGCATACCACTGACTCAAGTGATCTCATTAATTGTCAAGCACTTACTGCCTTAATTTTATCACCTTTACTGAAAAAGAGATCAGAATTGACGGTTACTTTTTGTATATGATTATATTTAATGCCAATAAAAGGAAACTTTTCTCAATGATGTCATTGGAAATTAAAGGACAGTTTGGGCCTTGCTTAAAGTACTTGGATCAGGGTTGAATTTCAGGTACACTGAAGCCACTAGATACAAATGAAACAGCTGTTGATATTTTCGTTACTGAGTCATGTAGCATTAATCTTCCTGAAAAAAAAAAAAGCTTGCGGACTAGCGGGCCATTTTGATGATAGTTTGTTTTTAAAATAATATTTTAGATTGCTTTTTCCCTTGCTGTGTCATCACTGGTTTTCTCATGTAGAATCTTTTTGATATTGATATATTATTATAATCATGATAATCAATGGTAATGTTACAACATTGCTATCAGTGTCCTAATTTCTATATATATGCACAGGAAGAATGAAATCACTTTGAGTTCCAATATCTTTCAGTATTATTAAATGTAGCATAATTCATTTTGTGCAGTGTATTTTTATTTTTTTTTTCAAAATTCATGGTCATTTATATAAGTTTGTTTATGATAAAATTTGATATTCAGTGCAAACTGATACACAATGTTACATAATGTTTCTTTAAAAAAAAAAAGTCTGTGACAGGAAAATCTATGTTGGAAACAGCTTTCGAAGGCTTTGAAATAGCATTTCTAATTTTATCTGAACAAATATGAAAAATTAAAGAACACAGGATCAAGGTCATCTGATGAAGGGATGTGTTGGTCGTGATTTCACCCTTCTCCATTAAATATCTTAAACAAAATAAATTCAGTATTCATCAAGTTCATGATAATCTTCTTCAAGTAATGCTGCCTGATTTTGTTTGATTAATTTTCGAAAAAATAACTAGTAGTATGTACTAGGGGTGGAGAAAAATTTGATAAACCAGACAGGGATTCGAACCCGAGCCCTTTGAATCTCCAGTCAGGTGCTCTACAAACTGAGCTCTAGAGCTGTGATGTGGCCACTGGTGATCAGACCCTTCTGACCGCTGCATTCCTCCCTCTGTAAAGGTCTTTTCCCCCGCAAACACCAACCCAGGCTCTTCCGTGGCAGGTTCTTCACCTGTCACTTCCAGGTCATGGCACCAAATTTAACAGGAGAGGAGAAAAATGGGATGGACCAGACAGGGATTCGAGTCCTGACTCCCTGAATCTCCAGTCTGTTGCTCTATAAATAGAGCCACCAGCGATTGAACCTGTCTGATCACTAGAAGTCTACCACTGAATCTCCCAGAACCCATATGGTGCCTATTTTAAAAAAAAATCTAGACTTAAAGAGGGAGTGTCCCTGCCTGACCCTCACTGGCACCCCAAGGAAACATGGTCGGCCAGGGCTCAACATTAATTAAAATACCCACTTACCTTTTTGCTAACAAATGTTACTTGTCCAAATTTATTGTTGACTTGCAATAAGAATTTTGAAAAAATTGTAGAACTTTATTTGAAGAAAGAAGTAGTATATGTTTTGACTTTCAAGGATTTGTTTAATTATAAAAATAAAAACATTGCTAGTCTTAAATACACTAGCAGTGTCTGTAACCTAGCCTTGATCGCGCTCATCCCTTAACAACACCCGGACATAAATGATTGACTGAGCCCTTATAAGGTTGTAACCTTTGTGATTTAAAAAAAAAATCACAGTATGAAGTGAATTCTGGGGGGGATTTTTTCAATCATATTTACAATATTCCTTAATTGTACAATAAGTAACTGATTCTAGAGATTGACTTGTCTGATCACAAAATGAACTGACCTTACCATAATGTTGAACTCTGACAACCTTAAATATTTATACTCATTTGATCACAGTCCACATGTATTTCACATTCCATAGAGAGAAAACATGATCAATTTACATTTAACATGATTTAAATTGTTTATAAATAATTCTGATTCTGAGAAGTCTCTTTGTTAAGACTAAAATTATCAAACAACGTGTCAATCTGATATTTTATGTTGTTAGTAAACTCCTGATGTTTCCTGTTTAATCTTATATTAACAATCGGATTGAAATGTCATTAGAAATTCTTTAGTACGTCTTTGTAGTACAGTGAAACCTTTCTTATCCGACATGCAATTGGACACAAATTTTGTGTCGAAATAGACAGGGTGTCAGATTGGAAAATTGTGAAGTGGGAATGAAGATTTAGTAAGATTAGAATTCACAGTGAATCAGATTGTTTAGGTGTGGATTAAACAGTTTTTACTGTAATAATAAGGCTGAGCATTCTGTAGAATTCTAATGTCTGCCATAACATGGGGACTTGGTTTTTAAGGTATCATTCAAAAGGCCCTAAAAGACACTTCAAAGTGCAGAGAGCTTGGCAAAGCAAAAGTTGGTACCTATTTTGTTATCAACTTAGATTGGCAGGGGCACGAACCCACAACCTTAAAACTATGGAGTGAGCAGTCTTTCCACTGAAATATTTTGATGGTGCAGGTGATAGGTGAAGATTCTCTCCACAAGTAATAAATAAATTCAGAGCTATAGTCATTGTTTTACTTTATATAACTGGTACCAATAAATGGTACCATTCCCAATACCAAAAAAAGTTAATTTTTCCCAATTTTCATTTTTGAGACTAAAAATTCCCAATTCAACTGCCAAGCAACAGACTACAATGACATTGTATTTCTTTTTATATGAAACATTGAAAAAGATGACTAATTGTTACATTTCCACTTAAATCGAAAGTAGAGATTACTCGTAATATGGCGGGACCTGTGGTGTAGACAGCGTAGTGTCATACATTTTGACAAATTGAAAGCATGAAAATGTGAAAACAAGGGACATTGATATGAAAAACAATGAATACTTGTTTATTCTTTAAAACATGGAGTAATAGGTAATGAGGTTGGAATAAATGCAGAATATGTTTCATTTGTTTAAATGACAGAAAATTCTCCTTTGTTCTACTTCGATGCAATTTTTACCAATTGAACCGGTACCGGACCCTTTCCCAATGGGAAGAAGAAAATCGCTGTTAAGAGATTGATTCTGCTAGATAGGTGAACTCCCCCCTCCTCCAATGTGTTCCCTCATCAGTCCCTCCCTACATGATTTGTGTATCATCATTATCACTGTACTGCAGTGTGTGCAAAGAACAAACTCAGAAATTAAAACAATAATTTTTTTGGCTCGAAATGTAAAACCATGGACAGCATGGCATTCTCCAAAACTTACATAACACTTTTCTTTGGAAGGGAGTCATTCACCAGCAGAGTGGCTCAGAGGACATGCAAGTTTGGGATACAGAGATTACATGTAGATATTGACATCTACCTATGTATATTGCATGCTGTATAAATACATCTAGGCCCCCACCTCTCTCTGTGTACCTCCCTAATCTATATTGATGCCTTTTCCACACCCTTATTTATTATACTGAAAATTGTGAAACACCTTTGTTCCATTATATGACATGGCTACTTCATATACATGTAATACTTATTATGATTTTGGAGAAAAGGGTTTGAATGATTGTAAACTTGTCAGGTGCCGTGTAAGTGAAAATGTGAATCAGATTAAAAAAAAAAAAAGACAAGACAAATTTTTGTCCTTTGCTGAAAAATGTTTGGATAAAATGATAAAAATATTTTTGAAGTAGGAAAATAATAGAAATTAGAAATAAGAGCAACAAGAGTTTCACTAAAGGACATTTAAACATATAATTGCATATCCCCCCCCCCCCCCCCCCCCGACCCCATCCCACCCCCCTCTTTCTCCTGGAATAAGTAATCAGCATTTTCATTTTGTTACCTTTTCCCCAAATTTTTAAATATATATGGTGCCTGTTTAAATTTAGCACTGTTCTCATTATAGGTTGGTTTTAATCATCCTCAGGGACATGATGTTACTGTCATCATTGTAATGTTGGTTACTGATTGTCAAAAGTTTCCATGTTTTCAGTGCAAATGGCAACAATGCAGTGTTTGGATAATTAAATGGAAAGGGGGGGGGGCATATAACATGAACCTTTATAACACTTATAATGGGTCATTTTTCTAAAATGGGGCAATTTTTTCAACAAAGGAATTTCACACTTGAAAATCTGTTAAATTCTGGTCAATTTTCCCCATATTTTGAAGATTTTACCTCATTCTGCTGTAGGGTTGTCCCAAAGACCCGGGGGGGGGGGGGGGGGGGTATTTCCCCGCCTATAGTAACATTATCCCATAGTTATTCAGGTATTCCCCCTCAACCCCCTATTAGGGAAGGATCCCCAGACACACACACACCCTCTAACTACTTTCTTGATGTGCTCTGCTATTTCAGTTCTTAGGGACAACCCTGTGGTAATAATATTTTTTTTCAAATAACTGCATAGCTAAAAAACCTAGTTTTGAGAAGATGTGTAAAATTCCCTGTCAGAACCTGAAGAAGTGCACCTTAGGAATATTTAATCATTTGGTTTTTGCCCTTCGGAGGTCGTATTACATTAACATTTGGAGTTTAATTAAGATTAGACGGCTCTGAGAATGATCACATGTTCCCTATCTGTATAAGTGATACAGGAGATTTCCTGCCTCTAATGAAGTGTCATACAGCATGTAGTACAAGAGACAGAATTCTAAAATGGAAAACAGTTGCAATGTGACACAGAAAGTTGAGGGTTTCAGTCAGTTTTAATTACTGGACATTAAAGACAGAAATCTGAAGGTCTCTGAATCACGATATTATTTAATGTGTGATTTACACTCTTATATAAATTTATCAATTTCAATTAATTTATTTGAGCAAAACCACTCCATTTATAATAAAAAACAAAATTTGCTGATTCATTGAAATGCTCCATTGGTTGTAAAGTTGATTGTTCTCCATTGGTTGTAAAGTTGATTGTGCTTCTTTGGTTGTCAAATTGATTGTGCTCCCTTGGTTGTAAAGTTGATTGTTTTCCATCGGTTGTCAAGATGATTGTGCTCCTTTGGTTGTAAAGTTGACTGTGCTCCATTGGTTGTAAAGTTGATTGTGCTTCATTGTGCTCCATTGGTTTTAAAGTTGATTGTTCTCCATTGATTGTAAAGTTGATTGTGCTCCATTAGTTGTAAAGTTGATTGTTCTCCATGGGTTGTAAAGTTGATTGTGCTCCTTTGGTTGTAAAGTTGATTGTGCTCCTTTGGTTGAAAAATTGATTGTGTTCCACTGGTTGTAAAGATGCACATAAGGGCATCAGGGGGGTCCAGAACCAACCCCCTCTCGGGGATTTTCAGTTTTCAAATTTGTATAGTGAAAATGAAAAAGGCGAAAATAACAAACAGTGGTCAATCTAAAAAAATCTTTAAACAGTACAAATCTGTGAAGAGGGCATAAAACTAGGACCCCTGGAAATTCCAGATGTGGGATAAGGAGTCTAGGAGGAGTAAGCATTGCCTCTTGACCAGTCACACCTGCCGTGAGCCCTATTTATTGATCAGGTAGACAAAGCATTCAGATCCATAGTCAAATTCAGTATAAAAACAAAGGCCTAACAATTGGTATGAAACATGTCAGCCAAAATACTACCCAGTGATAGTTATATTTGCTAACAAGGTTATTATAAGTTCCATATAATTAAGTAAATGCTGACTTTAAATGAGGTTGAAATCCCTGTAACATCAACTTATCTGTAGGTAGCCTGCCTCGGTTTAAAAATAGATCATACTCGGAGCATACTCTTGAGTATCGAATAAGTTGGAAGATGTAAACACCATATGCAGGTGATAGTTGGATATTACTACATAAAATAAGGAAAATTGATGATGATAAAGCTGATATCAGAAGTCATCTTGTTTGTCATACAATTTAGTTGTTAGTAGGCCTGATGATCTTTATAGATCTTTACTTGGACAATTGGACATAGTTAAATTAGCGGAATTTCCTCTGATATACAGGTATTTATATGACCTTGTTTTATACATGTGAGTTGGACATCCTTGTTTGGATTACTGGACACAGTTGTCATATGACTGTGACATGATATGCAGGTAGATAAAGGTGAATTCTGTAATCATCTCCCTGAAATACTCTAAATAATTTTTACTTGACAAGTGTGATATTCAGGTATATTTAGGTGAACTGCATTGACCTTTGCCGAAACTTAACAGTTTTCAAGTGACACATCCGATACAGGTGAGTTATACGGTCCTCAACCTAAAGTACTGGACACAGTATTTACTTGATACATTATCTGATATATAGGTAGATATAGGTAAATTATATTGTCCTCAACCTAAAGTACAGGTAACATTTAACAGGTGAGCTATACAGTCCTTGACCGACAGTACTGGACACAGTTTTTACCTGACATCTGATACACAGGTAGATACAGGAAATCTCCTGTAATAGGATTAAGACCTCATCATTATCTGTGATCTTGTAGCCATAGCTACCTGGCTGTCATGTTTCTGAATTCCTGGCACGGGAGGGATAGATTTCAGAATCGGTTTTGCTGTGGAGTAGGGGGTCTCGTGATAGAGACATGTGTATGACCTATTGATATCGGTGACAGATCGATGACAGTGTAGCTCTGTTTCTGTTATACGTGATTGTACTTTAGTCAGCTTAGTTTTGGGAAAATGTTGTACCCCCCAGAAATCAGTGTTGGTTATGTAACCGTCATCTCTTCAGAGCAAAGTAACATGAGTGGGTGGTGATCACCCAAACAAGTCTAGAATTTACCAAATGCACTATCATTTAAGGACATACGCAATGTACCTTACCTGCTGATAATTTTTCAAGATATTCTTCATTTAAGATTATAATGCCATCAGATGTTCGTAGAAAAAAATTCAGCATGCATTACCAGGGGTTTTGAAAAGATATCAATTGATGAAAATTCTTGTATAATTTAAAGAAAAATACCGGTATACAAAAATTACTAAACATATTTTCTAAATGTTTATCCAAACTTGTTTTAGAAGAAGTGTAGAACAGCATATATAGACATAAAAATGAAGCGCACAGTTCCTTTAAGTATTGGAACTCTTCAACTCCAGGGAAAAAGACAGTAAAGTTCAAACTATGTTGCATATGTCCTGAAGAGATAAATCTAAATGGAGTTACTTTTTTTACTTAGAATCAACCAGTATGTATAGAATGACCAAACATGGTTATTTTTTTCTTCCAATCTTGCAAGTTCATGACCATGGAAAATTTTTCCCTTGATGCACATGAAGCATGATGAATATTTTAGGTAAAAAAAATGCTATAATAATACTTTATTAATAAGTGGTTGGGACAACCAAATCACTTTGACATATCCATGGCATTCAAGATATCTGTTCGAGATACCAAAGTTTAACCGTAAATGTATTTTATGAACATTTTGACAATACCGTTATAATTGATTGGTAAGTCTATATTAAGTCATCGTTCTCTGTTGACAGGTACGGGAGAGAGTGGAAAAAGCACCTTTATCAAACAGATGCGAATCATTCATGGCTCGGGCTATTCAGACTCGGACAAAAGTGGATTCATCAAAATTGTATATCAGAATATCTTCATGGCTATGCACTCCATGATTAGAGCCATGGATACGTTGAACATCTCATACAGTGATCCAGCCAATGAGGTAAGTTCTTATTGTAAATGAGACCTATATTCTTATTGTAAATGAGACCTATATTCTTTCTCTCAACCAATCAGATGATTTTATAACATATGGTGATTTAGCCAATGAGAATAGTTCTTTGACTGTAATTGAGGCCTGTTCTTCATCTTAGCCAATTAGATTACAGTATTCTAGGAACAAATTGCCGTATTCTGTATGAATTTGTCTTTCCAGATGGTGTATAATTGCATATTCTAAATTGTAGGAAAACGGTCTGTTGGTCCGACAAGCCGATTTTGAGACGATTCACACTTTTGAGGAACCTTATGTTAGTGCAATTAAGGCATTGTGGGCAGATGATGGAATCCAGGAGTGTTTTGATCGCAGGAGAGAGTACCAGCTAACGGACTCTGCTAAATAGTGAGTACCTTTAAGTTCAAGGTAAAAACTGATAAAAAGTGAGTACTTTGAAGTTGAGAGTTAGTCCAAATGTTCAAATGATCAAGGATCAACAGAGACAGTTTAAGAGCAGTTTAAACTTCTGAAAAGAGTGCCTCAGCATTTGGGGTAAAAAAAAATCCACATATTGATATTCTATGTATAAAACAATTTTTTGAGAATTTATTCCCCAGTCAGGGGTGAGACTGAAATCCGTCATTTTTAAAATGACGATTTTAAGCCATAAATTAAAATTTTTATTTTGACTTAAACTCGTCATTTTTAAGAAAATGAGAAAAACAGTCATAAAAATTTAGAGTGTTTCTAGAATACCGAGTTACCTCTCTTTGAAAAATGTTAGATCCACCAACCGAAAAAAGGACAAAAAACATCGTAAACAAACTTCATTTCTCTAATACAGTTGACTACAATACTGGTTATGTTGACAGTATAAATTTCCCAAGCAAAAATAAGAGTGGAAGAGTTATTTGTCAATTTATTTGCATTAAATAGGAAAGAAGACAAAAATGACGATATTCCGTCTTTTTTCAAAATGGAGGGTCTGGGCGCACTGAAATATCTCGCTTGTTTTACGGGGCGCACTACTTTTTTACGGCTTTAACTTTTTGTCGACACTTTTCTCTACAAGTACGTATTCTTCCAGACGGTGTACTATATGTTTTTCTAGGGCTAAAAGCCATGTAAAAATGGCGAATTAGTTCTACCAAAATTCGACATTTTACCGCTAAATAATAACTTTCACCTTCCATGTTGATGTTCTAACGCACGTGGTCGGCAGTAATTAGTGACCCGGATGAAATGAAACTTGCGCAAACACTCTTCTTTCAGCGGTGAATTCAAATTTCGCTTTTATGTAACCAGGATAGAAGAATTAAGTTGAAAAAGAAAATATGACGATAGTAAGTCATATTGACAAAAATGACGAAAATACGTACTTAGTAAATATGACGATTATCCATCATTTTTCAAAAATGACGGAGTTCAGTCTCACCCCTGACTGTTCCCCAAAACTGATTTTAATGATGAATATTTTCCTTATTACAGCTATCTAGATGATGTTGATCGTATCGCAAATCCGAATTACTTGCCAACGTTACAGGACATATTGAGAGTGAGAGTTCCGACGACGGGCATTATAGAGTATCCATTTGATTTGGATAGTATCATATTCAGGTGAGGGACATTATAGAGTATCCATTTGATTTGGATAGTATCATATTCAGATGAGGGACATTATAGAGTATCCGTTTGATTTGTATAGTATCATATTTAGGTGGGGACATAATAGAGTATCCATTTGATATGGAAAGTATCATATTTAGGATGGGACATTATAGAGTATCCATTTGATGTGGATATTCAGGTGATGGGCATTATAGAGTATCCATTTGATTTGGATAGTATCATATTCAATTGGGGACATTATAGAGTATCCATTTGATTTGGATATTCAGGTGATGGACATTATAGAGTATTCATTTGATTTAGATAGTATCAGTTGGGGACATAATAGAGTATCCATTTGATTTGGATATTCAGGTGATGGGGATTATAGAGTTTCCATTTGATTTGGATAGTATCATATTCAACTGGGGACATTATAGAGTATCCATTTGATTTGCATATTCAGGTGATGGGCATTATAGAGTATCCATTTGATTTGGATAGTATCATATTCAGGTGAGGGACATTATATAGTATCCATTTGATTTGGATAGTTTCATGAATTTCTTCTTATATTGAGGACTTGTAAAACATCCACATGATTGGGAATTCTCATATTGAAAATATCTGTTTGATGTAGAAAGAACACACATTTTTTAGCTCACCTGAGCTGAAAGCTCAAGTGAGCTTTTCTGATCACCCGTTGTTCTTATATTGAGGGTTTGCAAAATATTTGTTTACTTTGAAATTACAGTATTCTGATGAGATCTCTTTAATTTGATTTAGAAAGAAAAATTGTAAGAAAAACAAATTTTCTGAATATCTATTTTACCTGAGTAATACCTTATTTAACACACTGTTATGTGTTGTAGTGTACAGCTTTTTAACACACTGTTATATGTTGTAGAATGGTGGATGTTGGAGGCCAGAGGTCAGAACGAAGGAAGTGGATTCACTGTTTTGAGAATGTAACGTCCATCATGTTTCTGGTGGCCTTGAGTGAGTACGACCAGGTCTTGGTCGAGTCCGACAATGAGGTGAGAACAGAGACCATACAAGGGTTTATTTGTCTATTGTGATTTTATAGGGGCCATGATTACCATGATTCCCAGATTTAGTTTTGGAAATACATTTCCTGGGTTAAGGCACCAAGTCCTTTGGTTGTGACGGGATACCTGTTTCATGGGTTATGTTAAGGTCCTTAAAGCAGGGGTTTTTGGGAGCTCTTGTTTCTCTGGTTATGTTAAGGCCCTTTAGTTAAGAGGAGTTTTTTTTTTAAGTACTTGACTCCTAGGTTATGTTAATGCACTTAAACCTTGGGTTTTGGTGAGGCACCTGTTTCTAAGGTTGCTTAAGGAACCTAAACCTTGGGTTTTGGTGATGCACCTGTTTCCTGGGTAACAATAAGGCAACTAAACTTTGGGTTGTGCTGGGGGACATGTTTCGTGAATTGTGTTAAGGCACCTACATTTTGCCTTGTGTTGGGACACCTGTTTCATGGGTTATGTAAAGCCTCAGATATAGTGGGGCACCTGGTTCCTGGGTTGTGGAAAGGCACCTTAATTTTAAATTGTGTTGGTGCACATTCTTCCTGGGTTGGATAAAGCCAACTTCATTGTAAGTTGTGATGGGTTCCTTGGATTGTGATATGGGAATTAAAGCCTGGATTGTATTGGGGCACCTGTTTCCTGGGCAGGCACCTAAACCCTGGTTTATTGTGGGGCATAATTCCTGGGTTGTGGTTGGACATCTATTTCCTGGATATGGAACACCTGTTTCCTAAGTTGTGATAAGGCACTTATTGCCTAGATCTGGATAGGGCACACATTAACTAGGTAATGGTAGAATATATTCATATTTCTTCAAGATATGTGAAAAATAATTTGGTTTACAAAGTAGGTGGTATTGATGAAACTCTATGATATTGTAAATGTTAATTTATTGCTGGTGCATTCATAGAACCATACACATTTTGACTATTTATAGAATCGTAAATGTTAATCTATTTATAGAACCGTAAATTTTTACTTTCTATTTATAGAACCGTATGGAGGAGTCTAAAGCCCTCTTTAGGATGATCATTACGTATCCATGGTTCCAGAATTCCTCAGTTATCCTATTTCTTAACAAAAAAGATTTACTAGAGGAAAAAATTATGTTGTCCCACCTGGTGGACTATTTTCCTGAATTTGATGGTGAGTGACAGATAGTGTTAACAACTTTAACGTTCATTATTTTCTATGTAGCTTGTAACCCAAGATTTGATTGGTTAGAAAGCCAGGCGTATCAGGGTTTGACATTAACTTTTTTGAGTACTAGACCAGTCGGGCTACTTCCCATAATTTTTACTAGCCCTGACCATAAAATCACTAGCCCTGACCATACTTGAAAATTTTCTTTTTTATAACCTGCTACTATAATGAAAAAAAAGTTTCGAAACCATATTATCTCACGCACGTGTTTTATAAAGGTATACATGTTGACAGACTGTTCCATAGATCGCAGCCCACTGAGTCAGGTTAAGCCGAACCTGCGAATATTATAAGCTTTAAAGAACATTCAAGGAACTTAAATAAAATTATTACCGTAAATATACATGTAAGACTATATTATTCGATGACTATTCATACCAATGATACTGAACAAAGCTAGTTTCGAGATCGAGACTTGTCTATTACAGCCGGGCTAAAAATAGCGATTGTGTCATGCGGGGAAGTTTTCTTTTTCAGAGTAATGGTTGTGTTTGTAATCGAAAAATTAAGAAAGTTTCTTTAAAAAGTATTTAGAATATCTATTTGAAAGACTGAAATGAGGGTTAACATTTATTTCATCCTCACGACCAGTCGGTCTGGTTCACAAACATTTTACACGACCGGACCATTCATTTACTAGACTGGGTCGGTCGGACGTGCCTTAGTGTCAAACCCTGCGTATATTTCCGTACATCTGCCTTGAGCTGGGGGTTAATAATGTGACGTCACATTGCATTGTTTCTCTATCACAAAAAGCAAATAACATGACATCACGATGCATTGTAACACATTGTAAATCTTATTGATAGCTTGATGCACCATCGTTTGGACTTTGGTTTAAAAGAATTTTCTTGGTTACATAGGAATTAAATTCATTATCCAGGTCCAATCAAGGGTGTACGGGGATTTATCATGGGTTGGATTTCTTACACCCTTCAGCCTTCGGCCTCTGGGTGTATGGATTAAACCTGGGGTAAATCCCCGTACACCCTTGATTGGACCTGGATAACTAATATTGTCCCTCTGTTAAGAGAAACAATGAAATATGAAGATAACAGTAATCAAGCTCAAAATTCTATTAAAAGAATACAAACTGGGAACAGAGCAAACATGCACCTCTTAAAAACATCATAGGTGGGATCAGGTGCCGTGGAGGAGTAAGCAAACATGTTCAATGTTGAACAATCACATCCACTGTGTGCTCCTTGTCGTGATCGGGCAAACAGAAAAATCCATAGACAATTCAGTGAGAAATTAATGGCCTAACAATTTGTATGTACAATGTCAGTCAAAGTTTCGACTTGACAATATGTTGTACATGTACTTGCTGACAAGGTCATTGTATCGAAGAAAGAATTTGCGAAATGTTGGCTTTAAATGAGACTGTTCATATCGTTGTTTCACCAACTTATTTGTCAATAGCTTGCCTCGTTTTAGAAATTGTTCATACATGGAGCATGCTCTTGAGTGTCAAATCAGCTGGGAGAGTTAAACTCATATGCAGGTGATAAAGGTATATTGCTACATAAATAAGTGAAGTTGACAATAGAAAAGTTGAAGTCATCACATTTATCATAAAGTTTTGATGTTATGCTACCATTAACAACTTATTCTAGTATCATATCCAAGTATAATAGAGATGTATCAGACTCTGTGATGTCTTTTATTTTGAGTTCAAACGGATATATCAAATCAATGTAGGAATGAAAATGAATATTGTTAATTGATAACACATCATCAAAAAATGTGAAGGTTGAATTGAAGGCCACAGCAAGAGACTTCTTCTTTTCATGAAGAAGTTTTTAAATAACTTCTGCTTAATATGAATACAAAAACAGGTCTGCTAATAACTGGACACAATTAGTACCTATAGGAAGAGACAACTCTCTTTGGAATGAATGAATATTATTCCTTTATAACATGAAAAAAAAGAAGCAATTGGTATAAAAAAGAACATGATCTTATACAGTCCCTGAAACGTTCTACTTTCCCACTTGAACGGTGAGCGAACGCTGAACGAACGCAGAGCGAACGGTGAGCGAACGCAGAGCGAACGGTGAGTGAACGATGTGTGAACGCTGAACGCAACTTGGTGAACGGTAGGTGAACGCTGAACGGTGAGCGAACGCAGAACGCGAACGGAGCGCGAACGCGAGCGCAAAGTGAACGGTGAACGAACGGTGAACGCAAGATGAACGATTTATTCGGAATGCCTCTGATCTTTTCCATGCATTGTATCTATTCTATTGTATTCTAATGTCAGGCGGAAAATAAATAAATATTCAAAAATTGTCCTGAGAAAGATGAAACATGCACATTTAGTAAAACTATCAATTAAGTTTCTTACAATATTTTCTGTACATATGTATGATGTTTAAATTCCACTGTTTAATCACACGATTTTTATCGCTGTAAAACATGTCATTGTTACCGAACGCTGTAGTTTAAAAAATAAAATCATTCTAGTTGTAAAATAAATATGTTTATTCTCATTTGATATATAAAACCATTACAAATAATGATTTTCGAAGAGTACATTACTGACTTACAGAACGAATAACAACGGTTGTAACAACCATACATGTATTTCCGTGTCAAGGCATTTCCGTGTGAAATAATGAGAAAAAAAATAAAAAAAAATATTTTGCTAGTCTGTGGACGTATTGCATGTATACCCTCATATTTAGAAAAAATTAATGCAATAATATATTTATGTGTCTTTTCATTTTTTTAATGATGATTTATTCAGCAGACTTCTACATGTATATCTATAAACAATTCCACGTGATTATACTCGGACAAGGTGATACAAAGAAGCATTCATATTATTTGTTATAGATGAAAATTTCAGAACTTGGTATTTAAGTAATACGTGTTATAGTTTTGATTAAACGGACAAATGAGAGAGAGAGAGAGAGAGAGAGAGATTATGTATTAGCCCCTCTTTTCACAAATGCATGTACATGTACATGTACCTGTATAAACGAAAACTCTTAATTTTTATCTAAATATCTCAGGCAGTGAAAGTAACCTTTTTTTATTTATCAACAAATTCACTTTGTTTGACAGTCATAATCGGTTTTTATTTTCCTGCTTCAAGTTCACACGAAGTCCACGTGCTTGTCCTGTCAATCAAAATCATTCGACACTGTTCAGCCAGGTGTGAAAGTTTCGTCACACCAAAGGCGAGGTGCTACACTGTAGTATTTCCAAGAAGTTTTACATGTTTTATCATTTCTAGATCTGATTCCAATTTTTCCAGTAAATAAATAATTAAAATACATTTGGCATAAACACTTCGAACGAATATGAAACATACTCCCTGGCGAATTTAAAATACCACCGTCAGCGCGTGTATATTTTGAACTACTATTGTTTAATGACTTTTTTAGATGCATGTTTGTTCTGAGACTGAAATTTTTGTGCTACAAAACGCGTTAACTTCTTTTTAAATATTAATTTAAAATATACTGGAAATACTGACTAAGTGACCGATCTACGTGGAAAAGGGGGGGGGGCTTAATCATATTGAATGGCAAACATATAAAGTTATTGTGAAGAAAAGAATTTTTTCTCTCTAACAGTAGAATTTATATATGAATTGTAGTATATTACATTAAATAAATATTTTTTAACCACACTATTTATTTAATTCGTACCAAAGATATTTAATTAACTGGATATCCGCAGTACTATTTATAATTCTCAGAACTAGTTCTAATAAATAAATGTATTTCTATAATAATTGAAAAAAAAAAACGTGTTAGTAATAAATACTTTCTAATTTTCCTGCAGTTGCTAAATTAAATGACATGGATTATTATCTCTCCATTAACGACTTGTCGTCTTTAACATTACAGTAAAATGTTGCAGTGCTTGAAGTACCCCTATATTGCCCGTATTTAAATTTAATTTTTCAGCATCGTTCTACATAGGTACATACTTATAACAACATTTATTTTCCAGAGTAATTTAAATAATAACCAAACAGCTAAGTTAGAATAATAATAATAATAAAGCATATTGTAGATAATTTATTCCAATAAAATAATGATCCTTTAAAAACGATATGTGAATTATTAAATTTGAAATCCCGTAAATCCTTACTTCCAAAAAAGATAAGTCCTTTCACTTCGGAGTTCCGAATGACACTGAAGACTGAACGATAAGTGAACGCTGAACGCAAAGGTGAACGCAAAGTGAACGAACGGAGAGCGAACGGTGAACGCTTTGTGAACGGTGAACGCGAGCGCACGGTGAACGCAGAACGCAAGACTGTGAACGGAGAGCGAACGGTGAACGCACGGTGAGCGAACGGTGAACGCACGCTGAACGAACGGTGAACGAACGGTGAGCGAACGGAAAAATGGGAAAGTAGAACGTTTCAGGGACTGTAGATACTTAATCCACTGGTTCATCCTAATAATGTTTAAAAGAAAACAAAGTTTATTTGGCTTAATCAGTAAGCTGTATTGGAAACTTAAGTCTGGTACTCTAAGAAATATTTGTACATGTACCTTTAAGGTGGCAATCTTGTAATGTTTTGACAAAATCTACCTTGACGTCCTATTTCTTTTTTGAACATTTCATAGACACTTTAGTACAGAGTATGACCAGAAAAATTTGAAAAAAGTGGAGAAAAGATATATCATAATGACATCCAGTCAAGCTCTTAATTGACATAATGTTTACTAAATGCTACGTCATGGTGTTGACATAATGATTACTAAATACTACCTCATGCTGTTTTAGGTCCAAAGAAAGATGCCCAGGCGGCCCGCGAGTTCATACTGCGGATGTTTGTAGATCTTAATCCCGACCCAGACAAAATCATTTATTCTCATTTCACATGTGCAACAGGTAAGTTCAATATTGATGGTCAAAATTCCCTTCATGTAAAATTTTTTTTTTATTTTCTTTTGACTTTTAAATTAGATTAAAAGCTGATTATTTGCATTTATTTTTTGTTTTGTAAGGGACTGAGTGTAGACTGAACAAATATTTTCCACTTTTATGTACCTGTACTTTTTTGCCAAGTGAAATGTCTTTTAATGGATTTTTTATTCATGAGAATTTGATTTTATGTGATATTTGTCCACATTCAGTTGATATCAAAAGGAAAACAAGATAAGAAGCAATATTTTTATTAACCCCCCCTCCCCCCCCAAAAAAAAAATTCTGATATGGAAAAGGAAAGATAACTCTTGTTCAATAACAGTATCAAATAAAACAGGAGTTACCTTTCTTGACAAATAATTACCAATATGCTTTATTTAACAAAAGTTCATGTTATATATACTGACTGTTTGTTTTTATTCAGATAATTGTGTCTCTATTTCATAATGTTTATTCTTTTCTTTTTATTTAGATACGGAGAACATCCGTTTTGTGTTTGCCGCGGTAAAGGATACAATTCTACAGTTAAATCTTAAGGAATATAACCTAGTGTGAGCAGATTCTGGATGCACGTCATTTAAAAAAAAACCTGGAGGTCGAAAGGTTAAATATGACACTTCGATCTCAAGTGGTCAAGGTCATTTTTCACTTTGACCCTGGTCAATTTTTGCTGACCACACACAAAAATAACCTTGAAAAGTGTCCTTGGATAAGAGTTAAAAAAACATTGAAAAAAAAAATTACAAAAAAAAGAGAACAAATGTACTTAAACTGTGTTCTAATTACGTGTTTATTTAATGCGTATACGCAGACCGTGAGTGGCGTCTAGGAGACTGAGAATTTTTTTTATATATATTATATATACATCTATATATATGATTATATCTTCATCATCTCAAGATAGGCAGTGACAGGGGGCTACAGGGGGCTGGCTCCACCCTCAATTTTTCCCCCTCAAAGCAGTTATTTCCCTCTTTTTTATCCCCATTGGTTTTTCCACCCAAAGCAGGTCTACAATTCTCCAATTTTTTTTTTCTCCAAAAACGTACGTTTTCTCTCCCCTCAAGTCAACAAGTGACGGATACATACATTGGATTATCAGAGGAAGACGAAGGAGATGGCATTTTGATCTGTGGAGCATATTCAAGGGAGGAGGCTTTAGGAGCTTATTAGATTTTTTCTTTTCATTTTATGCAAATGTGTTGTGTATAAATCTGAAGTTTATAGAAATATGTAGATAAAGAAAGGCTGTGTTGTTGGGATTTTTTTAATTTTCTTTCAAAGAGAGAAAAAAAAATACACTAAACAGGACACTCCATCAGAAACACCAGTTATGTCCCCTTCCCTTTTTTTGATTTTCTGCAACAATTGTTTAAAAAAAATTTACCCCCTCCCCCCAGTGTTTCCCCCTTTTTCATCTACCCCCTTGTACACCTTTTTTTATGGTGACAGACAAAACCAGTACAAATTGTGTGTTGTGTATGTGATTAAATATTGTGGTGTTATAGTCTCTGTCAAATTGCCAAGGGGAAGCAACTCCGTTGAAAAGTGGTCATAAATTTGTATTGGTGGACCTAAGATTACTATTGGTGGATCTAAGGATATATGTGATTACTACTAAACCCTGGCCTGGATATTCATGTCTATTTTATAAATTGTGGCCCAGGACTCGGAGAGAATGATTTCTATTTAAAATTAAGAAGGACAGATGTGTTTTTTTCCCAATTGTTGTTTAGTGTGCATAATGAGAATTTTTTTTATATATATGAAGATATCAATATACAGCAAGGATTCATTTCCTGATCTTGATCTGAAGAGAGCTCCTATATGCTTGTAAAGTTGCAACCTTGTTGTATTTTGACCATTTCCCAAATCAAGCAAGTTTTAAACTAAGACTGTGTAAAGCTTTAAATTGGAGAAAACATTAGTAAAGTTGACACGGGGCAACATACAATTCTAATGTGTTGCATAAAAATAATGTGTAGCATAAATTTCCTTAATTCAGTAGTCGGTTCTAACTGAAATGAATTTTTTGATGGGAGGTGTATTTTGATGGGTATTATAAGAACTAATGCACTTTTGTACATTTATGCATATGGGAAGCCTTTGAATGCAACAAAATCACCTCTTTATAAAGAAAATTGTAATCTCTTAAGCATTTGAAGACCTGGATGAAAATTGACCACAATTGTTTCTAAACTCTAAGTTACAGCATATGGTACTCTTAGATATAACTTTTCAGATGTTCTTGAAATATTTAATTCTTGACGGTATTTGATCAAAAGACAAGTTTTTGATACCACAAAGTAATAAATAGCATTTAGACTTTTGACATGTCCCCCTAAACTTTGATTGAAGTGCAGATTATTTATGCTGGTATGGATGGTTTGTTGAAATCTAACTAAATTTTCAATGAGTTAATATTATTAATGTTGTGGAACTCTTCAATATTGGAGGTACAAACAATTCCTGAAATGTATCTTTCCTTACAGTAAATGGACATGTACCAGGTGTATCTGTAATGGTTAAATGTGTGAAAACATACATGGCACAATTTTTTGCATTTGAATAAAACGGTCAGAATTTAAAAGAAAAATGTTTTTTTATTATAAGAATGTTTAAAATCATTTCTTTTTCTCAACTTGGGAATATTCATTTGAAATTTGTATGTATAGTTGTATACATTGTAATCTACGGTTAGATAAAATACTAGGCTGATGTACGTTAAATTCAATCCTTCCTAGGCAGGTGTACAAATGATGCATTGATATGTAACTTGTGTATTCTGGTAAATATAGGAGTGATTTTTTTTTGGTTAAAGAAAATTGGCTTTTCATTGGGATGTGGAGGAAAATGCAGCTCTTCTGTAAAGATGATTCTAAATTGGATTGAGTCATTGTCTCCTAAGATTTTACCAGGTCATGTGTTCTCCATGTTGAAATAGTTTATCATTTTCTGACCAGTCTTGCATTACGAGTCTAAAATCTTTGATGTGCAATATATTACTGTACAAGTTATGTGTGGTGTTACGAGGTCTGTAGGTCAATTATTGGACACTGTAAAATGTTTAACCATACTATGTGTGTGTACAAATTCGGTAGGTAGAATTAGGTCAGAGGTCAAAGGTGATTGTTGGTTTAATTGTAATGAATACTGATGTAAAATAAAATGCTTGTCATGAAAGACCATTCAGCTACCTGTGGCATAAGATATACCATTAATTAGGATTAGTATCCTTAGACAACAAATTAACTCGGGACTTGTGTATATTGTTTTGTATTATGTATCATTGGTTGACACAAGTCACATGTCCGACATGTGCTATTTTTAGAACATCGGTCACATGACGTCACATCATGTGACAAAGATATTTTTGTTTCTTTTTTTTTTTTTTTTTTACCAAATGTAGAATTTTCTACGATAGGTGTTTTCATTTGATGTGTGTGTAATATTTCATTGTCAGTGGAATTAATGATATATAAAATACAAACAAGAACCCCTTAAAAAGATGTTGTAAATGTGCAGGGGTGACCTTGTTTATTTCATGTACGCGAAGCCAAGAGCGTTAGACTTTGTAATATGTGTGTGTTTGTGTGACGTTCACTTTTATGTGTATTCGAGAAAGTATGCAAGTTTAACGAGAGGAAATGAGAGAGAGAGTTGATAAGTGTGATATTATATTTTTTCTGAATATTGTTATGAGTAATAGGTGTACAAATATTTGCTGGGGAGTATCATGCAGTGTCAAACTCTACCTTCTATTACTGACCGTAAATAGTGTTTACTTATATATTCTATATTTCTGGTCAGGTTTACCAATTGTTACTTTGATTTGGAATCTAAATTTAGAAAGAAGGAAACTGGAAATTTATTTTTTTGCTCTTTAAATCAAACCATGGTGAAAAAAAAAGGGTTTTTTTACCTTCAGTCTTTCAAATTTTATTCTTGAGGAATTCAGACTTCAGAAATTACAATTATCTTTAAATTCAAAAATAAGAAAATGTATTTGGATTTTTTTTTCTATTTAATCACAAGTTAAATTTTCATGGTTGAAAATTAATTTAATTGTTGAAAATTCTAGTGTATGATTTTTTTTTTCATGTCTATTAAAAAAAACCTCAAGAGAATCAATGAAATAGTAGTGCTCTTTGCATGTCGATAGATTTTTACGCTTAATTTTATGATGGAAAAGGGCCGCGTTTTTTATATATATTTTTAACTGCAGTCATGTGAACAAGGTGTATGACTATATCACTGCAGAGAAATGTTTCTTCATGACAGGTTAACCTGAGTATCTATAAGTGTTTGAGAGACCCGGCGATTTCGAGGCCTGATTGTGGTTCTCTCGGTTGATTCGTCAGTCCATATTATTTATTGTCACCAGTCAATAAAAGCTTAAACTGTACACGCTTGTTACTTATCTTTGAAAATTTTGAGTAACCTTTGTTCTCCCATTATCAACTGTGTTTCATCACTCCCGTGCAGTTGTTCTTTTTTTGTGTTCATAACATTATGAAACACCCAAGACAGTTTTGATTGGCTGCTTATACCAAACTACGATTCTGTTTGGCTGCTTTTCCAGGCTCTAAATTCTCAAAGTTCATGCCTATGACAGCATTAAATACAGGTACTCATGTCTCTTAAAAATAAAAAAAATATTAAGAATCCAGAGTTTGAGAAAAAACATTCACTATCTGGAACTGGTTGTGGAACCTATATTTAACTGTGAAATCAGAAAGTGTTGTGAGGGTTAATTTTCCTTGTTTTCATGGTATGGAGATTGTCATAGGATTTAATTTTCTTCATTTTCATGATTCGAGGAGCCCCACAAATCCATTACCTCCATGAAAAGTTAAAAATTTCTAACTACACATACAGTTTCATGGTTCTTTTTCAACCATAAAATCAAATCCCCACAAACATTATTTCCTCAAAAGAAAAAAATGCACACAAAAACATTGATGCCATGAATAAGTGATTTTATGGTATTGGTGAGATTATTCAGTGGAGTCATCATGTGTAAGGGGGGGGGGGGGCTACTATTAGGGGATTCTGAGGGTTATCATTACCCATGAATTTAAATCTCCCTCAACTATTAACTTTGCCATGGTGTAACGGTTCATTGAAACTTAGGTAATCAGAAATTACAGAACTCACCTCAATGAATGTTATCTTTAAGTAAGGCAAGTCCCACGGTAAACTAATAATCTAGGAGTGTGCATCCCTAGATGCAAAGTATGCAATTTTAGTCTGATAGGGCTTGCAGTTACTTGGGAATGGACTTCTCTAAGAACTTTAAACTAGTCACTCATCCAGAAAATGTAAGTCATATGCAGCATCTGAAGCAAGTTTGAGTGTTGGTCTATTGAAGCATTATTCGTGCAAGTTTGGTCTAGGTAGGGCTTGGAGTTGCACTGGAATGGTCCAAAACATTTAACCTGATCACTCATCTAGAAAATGTAGGCCAAATCCAGCATCTGAGGCAACTCTGGTGGTGTGCAACCCTTGATCAATCAATGCAAGTTTGGTTCAGGTAGGCAGAGTTGTCCCTAAGACCCGGTGCTGAGGAATTTCCCCTCCTATATTGATGCAATTCCCTGGTTATTCTGGTATTCTCCCTCAACCCCCTGTTAGGGGAGAAACCTTAAACCCCCTTCTACTTTTTTAATGTCCCCTGCTATTTCAATTCTTAGGGATAACCTTGGGTAGGCCATATAATTTCTTTGAAATACACCTATTCCAAAAACTTTAAAATTGGTCACTCATCTAGACTCTGGAAAAGGAGATGAAATCCCAAATCCAAAGCAACTCAGGTAGTGTCTCAATAAATGTATCTTTCATGCAAAGTTGGTCAGCATAGGGCTTATGGTCTCTTTAGAATGAATCGGTAGCATAATAAAATTACAGCACTTGAGCCGATATGTTCATTTGTATTATTTATATACAGTTGAACTTTGGTATCTTGATCACCGATATCTCTTGATTCCATGGATATGCTGAAGTTATTTAGACATCCCAATCTCTTATTCTCTAAGTATTTAACCTGGATATATATCAAATCCGTGGATATCTCAGAAGTTCTTTCCCCGTTCCATTGAGTTCGAGATAGCAACAGTATTAACAAGTGCTGGAATTGGCAGAAAATCAGGACAAAATGAGCTAGAAAATGATTACACCAATAGAAAAAAAAAGTTTAAGAGAATATAATTTCCTGAAGGACAAAATATCAGATTGTTGGCAAAGGGTAAAATTGTTCATCTAGACCATTCTGTTAGCAGGATATGAAGAATTGGTTCCTTAAATTAAAGAAATATGATAATTATGCATTTATTTTTTCAAAATAATTACAGCTATTCCTATATATCTGTATCATAATCAGATACATAGAAATTCTTAAATAGTTCTAACATTAGTTTAAAACTAAACATATATGTACAACTATGAGTACACATTATTGTATATAAAATCAAAATTCTTAAAATTATCATAAAAATACTTCTTTGACCTATAAACCCTTATTAAAATAGGAAGAAATTAGGTTTCTCGAGAATATCTAATAATTATGTGTATGAAGTGAAATCCTAAAATTATAACAGAAGGAGCTCAAAAGATTTTCATGTTCATGTTTTTTGCAAACATTTTCCAATCTGCTGGATATCCTAGTGCATTCCAATTTTGAAAAAACCAAGAATTGATTTATCAAATATTCAAGTTTTTTTTTTTTAAACAAATTCTGTCCACGAAAATGGTCAAATCTGTGGACTTCCTTCTAAATGTGAAATCCCTCTTCTATGCATTTTGAGCTAAATTAATGGCGTCAATTTCAATTCTACATGTTTAATTGTCACTATATAAAAATCTTTCAGTCAAATGATGTTTTGAAACCTCCAACGTTTTTGCTGCCTTTTACTATTGCATTAAATTTAGGTCTCTTTTTCAATTCATCCCCTTTGCTTAGCACAAAGTTGTTGGAAATTCCTGGAGTTCTGAAACAGAAATAAATATTTTGTACAAAAACTCTGTGTGCATAAACAAAGTGAAAATGGTAATTTAAAAAATTGATCTTTTTCAGGCACACAGTATCAGGGGGAGGGGGACTACCTTCAACTGTTCATAATGTTCATTCAAAGCCCTTCCCCTACTTTTTGTTGCAGCAAAGTGAAGTAGTCCCATAGTAATGTACTAATAAAATTTGTTTTTCAAATAGGTTGGAATCCACATCCCCCCTCTACCCAAATTAATCTTTAATTAGAGTGTTAAATCTTTATTAAAGTACCAATATCATGGATATGCATATTGTACTTCAAGAGTGTAAATTCAGTACATGTATATACCTGGTACACTTTCACGACTGCTATTCAAAGTAGAAGTACTGCAAGTCTACTTACGCCATTAATATATCAATAGTTCTTTCTGTATCTTTGGACTTTTTGTGGCCCTTGCCCAACACAAGACATTCTATATCATGACACTGAAATAAAATCATAGCTATACTAAACAAAACATTATTTTTAATTCTCACATCATACATGATAAGCTATCCCTATATTTGATAAACTGAACAAAATACCATGAGGTACCGGTACTTAAATACATTAACCATTTGCCATACCTCACGTTTTTACAGTAGTTTTGCCAATTTTTGCTGGCAGTTGTTCAATTTTTTTTTGTGTTTCAAATTTGTTTATCTTCCCAAAGTTTTTGACAGTGGTTTAACCACTTTTCTGTCAGTTGTGACCTTACCTTAATTTTTTTTGACAATAACCAACAATTTTTGCAGTGCTTTACCTTTTTATATGTTTTCAGTGCCTTTTGTATGTTTCCCTGAGCTAGATATATGGAGGCCATCATTTTATATGTATCTGATACATTCTCTGAGTAGTCTCCAAAAACATCACATTTATCCTTCACACTGGACGATAGAAGACTCAAGGCTTCCTGAAAAGTAGATATATTTTTTCAGTTTGATATTCTTACATTCTCTCTGCAAAGTTTTCATTCATTTGCCATTACAGTGTATATCTATACCAAATTCGCAGCGTTATTTCAAACAACTGGTTAAATTTGACCACACATACGTTTGAGTTACAAGTAATTTTTTTCCAAAAATCATTGATAAACCATGTTTTTAGGGAAAAAAATTATAAAACTATCAACATTTCCTAACAGCTAACCACTAGAGTGAAATTTTAATCACTTAAAAAAAAAATAAAGACTCTCTTTTGACCCTAAAGAGCAAAGCCAATCAATTTTTCTGATACATTTAGCAATACAAGGAACTATCCAATCAGATACAAGGTTACAAAATGACTTACAGCATTTCTGTCAGTCCTGATGTAGAGTCTTGCTAACTCGTCTTGCACAGTCAGGGTCTGTTTATGATGAGGACCATGAATGGTTTGGCAAGTTGCCAGACACTCATTTAAATACTTCTCAGCTGCAGCTGTAATTAGATTAAAAAATTCATATAAATTGTTTGGAGAGGAGAAAAATGTGACAAACCAGACCAGGGTTCGACCACTAGTAACCAGATAGCTCAGTTGGTAGAGCACCTGACTGGAGATTCCGGGGGTGGGGTGGGAGGGTTTGAATCCTGGTCTGTCACATTTTTCTCCTCTCCTGTTACGTGTTCTTGAATGGCAAGATGTTCATTTTCTTTGCCGTTACTACTTATACTCAAATTATAAATAAAACACTATACTTTGATTCTCAATAACTGAATGAGTCTTATGAAAAAAAAAAAGATTCTTTGATTGATAAAAAAATTAAGCTTGAGAACTTCTATAAATCTTGGCTCTCTCTGGCACTGATGATAACACAAAGAGGTTAGTTGAGTGGGAATAAGAGAAAAAATTCATGTGCCAGAGCAGGGGACCACATACATGTACTTTACTAATTAAAATCCTGCTCAGCTAGGTCACATTGGTAAGAAGCAAGTATGTAACATCCAGTCAAAAAATTAAGATCCAGATGGATACACACCTTCCCCATCATCTATACTCTACCATAAAGTGAGATCTAGCTGGATGCATATCTTCACAATTCTCATCTCATCTGTATATAGAGATCCAGAAATATACAAACCTTAAGATCTGGATGGATATAAACCTTGAGATCCAGACAGACACAAACCTTGAGATCTGGATGGATATAAACATTGAGATCCAGACAGACAAAAACCTTAAGATCTGGATGGATATAAACCTTGAGATCCAGACAGACACACACCTTGAGATTTAGATGGATATAAACCTTGAGATCTGGATGGATATAAACCTTGAGATCTAGATGGGTATATAAACCTTGAGATCCCAATGAATACATACCTTCCCCATCCTCATCTCCTGTGCTGCTGTAAGCCTGAGCCAAAGCCAGGGAGGTCTCTATTAACTGAGAATGTCCATCTTTATAGCTACAAAACACAGAAAATCACCAGTATTACAGCTATATATAGATGGTATTACTGCTTCCATTTTTTAATATAATTTATAGATCTAACACAAATCTTTGGTATTTTTTTTAATCAGTTACATTGTTGAGTATCTAACTACATTTTACCACAGATGTTAACTTTTAAAGATATATAATTAATCCCTGATTCATAAGTAAATGTGGACCAGTTAAGTGACTTACTGGGAACCAGCAATAGAGTGGGCCTGGAGAAACATATCTATAGCTCTTTCATGGTTGGAATATCGGCCTTTACTCTGCTCCAAGTTCAGGGGTTAAGGTAAGTAATTCATGTGTATTAATTGATTTAATTCATTTACATGTATACGATACAGAGTTTGTTGTTTTTTAAAGATACATTAGTAAAATATAAAAAAAACCCTACTATTTCTTCTTTACATTCAATATTAGCTTACTTTATACCTTTGTTGACCATAGTACATTTAAAATATCCATAAATCATTCCTTTAATTCAAAATTTCCTTTGTTAAAACAAACAACTAAAATAATTTTCCCCTGCTCTGATAACAAAGGATATTTTCCCACATTCCTGATAGACTGGGATGAGGTGCACTGAATCCTCGCCGTATCGATCCTCCATTAGTTTCAGCAGTTTATCGTACTGTGATGTCGCCACAGCATACTTCTTCTGTTTCCAGTATAATCTATGGGGATAAACAGGAAGTTAATATAGAGCTTCAATGTATCTTATAAAGCAATACTTCACAGAGCATATACATTTGTAACTAAGGGAGAAAACTTTCTTTGACCTTGACATGTTGCTTTGACTAAATATTAAGTCACTATTTCATTATCATTTCTTAACATAGACAGGGTGAAAGAATTTATGGGCTGCATTGTTACACAGGTAGACACAAATAAAATCCGTACTGAATTGTATCCCTTAACTGTAGAAGAACACTTAACAAAACATCTAAATACTGTCGATCATCGAACTTTTGTGATACATTCTTTTAGCAAGATGTCATTTGTTATTTATAAGTGAGACATAATTTTCAAGAAATTTGGTTATCATTCGATGTAATCTTTATTACCACAAATATACATGAGAATTAAATTTTCGCAAGCAGGCCGTCTTGCATAATTACGGGAAAATATAGATTGTTCGAATAAAAAGTGATTTACATTATCCATTACTGTACCTTGCTGTAGCTTGTGAAAGCTTGATTTCGTAATCATCAAGCTGATTATCATCCACACAGGAGAGCTTGTTAAGCTCACCAATCACTTTCTCCGTTTTAGCCAACATCTGATCAGCTTCGTTGTATTTTTTCAGTGTGGCCAAAGCTCGGCCTTGGATGTAGTAAATCTTGAAAAGTACGTCGTAAATATCGGCTTTTTCCTGGTCAGTCGTGTAGCTTGTTACGGAGTTTAACATGATGGACTTAGCATTCTCTGTGTGATATTCAGCTTGTACTGCATATGCTGAGGAATGATATTAAAAATGTTATTAGCAGCATAAACAAACAGAAGGAACTGGGTGTACTGTATATGTGGATTACACTTTGATGATGTGGAAATGTTGACATAATTTCCACTTGTCAGATTTCTCATCCTTCTTAAGGAGCAATATATGTGTAAAATACTAGGCCTATTAGACTATCACTTTGTATTCATAAAATTTCTAAAACTAGGAAATCGTCAAGCATTCAAACCTTCCATATAGTGACTTTTGCAGTATATAATTTTATATATACTTATCTGGACTGAAATGAGTTTTAAATCTTAAGAGTTGGCATTCACTTGAGAGAGACTGATTACATGTACAACTTTATATTTGCACAATGGTTAGGCCGTGATTTTAAATAAAGATACCTCACAGATATACTGTAAACCAACTATTTTTTGCGTCATCTTTTATTTGCTATTCATCAGTTTGAAATCAATTTGTGACGATTAATTTTCGCGACTGAGGAAACATTCTCTACAAATACAAAACAAAATAAATGGTTCATGGCGATTAATATTCCCGAGTTAAAGTAGGTCGCGAAACTCGCAAATATTTCTCGCACGCGAATAAAAGTTGGTTTACAGTGCATACATGTACAGTACTAGTATTGTTATCTTCTAAGACAATAGAATATTTACCTTTAAGATCCAGATAGGCTTCAGCAAGGTTGGCATGACTACGAGCCAGTTTCCAATGCCCGGCTCCATACAGGATCCGGTTCAAAGCCAGACATTTTGTTAGCTCAGTGATAACTTTATCAACCTATATTAAATTAAGAGAATATGAATGTAATTCAATACGAAATTAAAAGTCCATGTTAGAAAATAATGTTTAATATGCAATTACAGTCTTATATTCAAATGAATGCTACTCATGAAATTAAAATTTTTGATTGACAGAATATAATCATTATTATATGTATGATAATGTGTCCGTCACTGAATAATGAGCATAATTATTTACTTAAAGTTTTTCAAATAAAAATATTAATAGAAATACTTTAAATGTCAGATATAAAATTTCTTTTTTAATACTGAAGAAATAAGAAACAGAGGTCTAAGATTTTGATGTCAAAATATAAATTATCTTTACCAAACTTCTTGAAATTCTTTGAAACACCAACCTTTCCACTTTCTGTAAACCTTACAGCTTTCTTTTCTGCTATTTTTAACTTTTTGTCAGGAGGTGTCATGTCGATTTTAGAGCGTCCATTTTTACGTGGGGTACGCTGTGACCTCCTCTGACTTCTCTGTGTATGGGGCACTGTCTCTTCATCTGTGTATACATCCTCCTCAGCAGACCTGGTATCAGAATAATTAATCATAATAATTACTGTAAACCAAATATTATTCGCAACAACTTTTATTCTATTTTTATAAATCAGCTTTGAAATCTGTCCAGGATGACTTTTTTTTGCAATTGGGGAAATATTTTGCATAAATACACAATAAAATAAATAGTTCGTGGCAAGAAATGTCTGTGAGTAAGGGAAAGTCATGAAGTCACAGATATTTCTTTCATGCAAATAAAAGTAATTTTACAGTAATACACAGTTTACAGTAGTTTACAGTAGTTTACAGTAATATACAGTTTACAGTAGTTTATAGTAATTTACAGTTTACAGTAGTTTACAGCAATTTACAGTTTACAGTAGTTTACCAGAAATTTTTATACAATAATAAATGAAAAATTCATACTGAAGCTGATGATGACATTTTACCTTGACAACAGCAAGTAAGATCACAATCATTTTATGATAATACTTGCAAAAATATCTACTGTTAGAAGTTCATTTTCAGCTCCTCCTTAAGTTTTCAGGAAATAAAATCATGGTGGAGTACTTGCCAAATATTACCCAGTACTTCAAAATTAAAAAAAAAATTGATGAAAAAATATGTAATAATAATATTTTGGTTCATTTTACCATGTATCATCCTCTGAATATTCATCAGAATCGTAATTAGTTGGAGAACGTCGTCTTGGAGATGACCTTGTAGCACTAGATGAGCGACCTTTAACCTCTACAACCATGGGTCCTCCTGCACCAATACCAAAATCTTCTTCATCAGACATGTTTAATGTCCTAATTAAAAACAAAATCATTAGTTACTGTATCATAATTTTTTTACATCAATAAATAATATTCTAGTCATAAAAAAATCATTTTTAAGATAGAAAAAGAATTAGATATGTCATTACAATTAAACACACTAAAACAGCTAAATGCCAAAAGTGTGAATTCCATACTAAACCTATTTGATTACGAATTTGTAGAATAATGTTAAAGCCTCTGTGTAGCAGTGTGTGTGAGCAGATTAAACAATCTAATTTACTTTAGATTGAAAAAATAAGTGCTGGGGCATCTTTTTTTGAACTAGGGGTTGCCTTCCCTGTCCTTCCTTATTGAAACTGATAACAAATATCACTCTTTGCTTGAACCACGTTAATATTGTTTTATTTAGGATTCCATTTCTTGGTTGTTATATATGTTAAAATAGTGGATCTTTTCTTTTTTTAATCAAAAAATATTTGTACATGTAGGTGCTCGTCAGTTGCATTACCTGTCTTCTAACAGTTGAGCTTAATTATGATGACGTACATACTACAAGAAATACAAAGTCTGTAGATTATCTACAGTAATTCTGCTAGATATGGCAAGTAGTCTGTAGATTATCTACAGTAATTCTGCTAGATATGGCAAGTAGTCTGTAGATTATCTACAGTAATTCTGCTAGATATGGCAAGTAGTACTTTCCAAGTAAAAACACATACAGAATCCAGATATCAGCTGCAAGCCTGCATGTCTATTTGACTAAAATAGGGATCCTTCTGCAATCTACGATATCAATTCAAACCCAGTGTTTTGAAATAAAATAGTATACCTTAATTAACTAGTCCCTGGATAATAAATATCGCTTCTATTTCAATATTTTTCTAAGGTGCTGCTTAGCAATAGTATTATAGTTTTTGTTTATCACTTTTTCGCCATTTTGAATTTTAATTACTTCGCACCAGGAATCGAAAACAACACTTGAAGATTAATATAACATATATCAACAATACTTTGATTTCTATCAGGCAATTTCAATTATTGATCTAGTAACGAATTTTAATTAAATATTTATTTTTCATGGGGGGATTCTTTTAACGAGTGATTTTATGTACGATATGCCTAACTAATGGATAGCAACAAACATGGCGAACACCGGGCTCTCACAACTGGTAAGTATCATTTATTCATCTTGTCAAGTCCCGTTCTTGAATGTAGCACGTGATTGACTCCCCTTATTCAAAACTGTAATTTAATCTGCTTAATTATATTGTATTTTCAAGCGTATCCAGGCATGAAATGTAGTTACATTAATGAAAAGGTGCCCCAAGTGATGCTTAACTAAAGCATGCAGTAGTTTGTAGAAAAAGAACCAACCATTCTACTATTTTGTATAGTTACTTGAATGATTATTGTAACTCAACTCTGTACAATGAAGAAAATATGAGTGAAAATGGATTCTGACCAGACCATTCAAGTCCATTGTTATAGTTTCATTGCATATTATAATGATTTACTGTGCATATATTTAATAAATGGCCCTGGTTTTACCTGACAATTTTCAAAATTTTACCATAGCTAGATTTCCAGTAATTTAGCATCCCCCCAACTCTGAAATTTATTTACTGGTAGGCAATTAGTGCAGTTTGAAGAATATGTTGACGGTGCGATCTTTAGGGCGAGCGCAGATACCTATATTCAGTTTTATTTAGATCACGTTCTTTAAACCCCACATGACATTTTGTATGTCTAGATTCTGACGTCACATGACGTCGTTTGTAAGTTGCATAACTTAAACAAAGTCTGAACAGTGCTAATTTTAATAAAGAAGGTTTAATCTACTATTAATCTGCTATATATCCATCAAATCAAGGTGTCAAGTTTATTTTTTTCTTGGAACTTCTTGTTACTGCGAGAATGTTGTTTGTAATGAGATGCAATTCGTAAAGCATTATGGGATCACAGGTTACTGCCGAAAAAATTCATTTGGATCAATGTGCACAGTCTGAATTTTCTTTTCACCCAGGCATTGCTTTAAGAGCTCGCAGTGATGCGCAGCGAGCTAATATTTATTTCTTGTTGACCAAAGGAGCCTTGTGGCTCATAGGTACACAAAATATATACAATATAGGCAAATGGCAGAGGATTCAAAAAGAACTACAATATAATAACGTATAGATATAAGGAATTTGTAACAAAGGTAGAATTCAACTAACTAACTAACAATAAATATTGACAAAGATTCTGAGTACATGTAGTTTTAAAATTATATGCACTAAAAAGTTGAATACAAGTGCAGGATTTATTGGGTTCCAGGTATTCATTCTAGTTTGGTGTATTAACATGATTAAAATTCACCTATTATTTCATTTGATCAAGAAATACACCCATTTAAATTGTGGAGAGAAAAATTAAGTCAAATTTCAAATTAGTATAACTTTTGAAATAAATTTAAAAATAAAACAAATTTTTCATGTTGTGTTTGTATTAAAGTATTTTAAAAACTTGTAAATATTCAAGCATGTTAGTTAAATAAAAATTAAAAATATTAAAAATCTAAAGAACTGCGAACGATAGTATAGTTCTGCCACCTACCTCCAAGTCAAATTTCAAAAGTTAACATATTTGTATGATTTTCCATATCTATATTATAACAGATATTTAATATATGAATTTTCATAAAACATAACTTATTTGGGAAAACAAAGAGAGATAACTCCTTAATTTTGGTAAAAACAGCGTTTTTCACTGTAGAAATCAACGGAAAACGGAAAATATTTTTAAAACATCCCCCCCCCCCCCCCCCCCGTGAAACAAAAATTCCTTTATATGGGTTTTATGAATTATCATTTCACAAATTTCTACCATAGCGGGGGGGGGGGGGGGGGGGGATATGTTTATTGACAAATAACTGCAAAATTTGTCATTTTATTACCAATTTTAAATGAAATTACAAATAAGATAAGTTTAAGAAGTATTTTATTCATGATATACATAAATGTATATACAATGAATATGGATTGAACAGCAGATAAGGTACAAATAAGATAAGGTCTTTTATCAATCCTTTATATTGAATTTTACATAAGTTAAACATACGGAAAGATTTAAGGGTCATTTAGCCATTTCCATGCGTTTTGGAAAATCTAGCGATTTTTAAAGCCTGATTTAAATGGATAAAATTTTCAACCCCCCCCTTTTGAAAAGAGTCGTAAATAAGAGAAATTATGTTTTTGTCACTGGTTTTAAAATTATCAATCATTTAATAATGGACTCTTCTTTGCATTCAATCAAGTTTTAATGACCAAAATGCCGTTTATGTTGAATTAAATGGGTGCAAAATGTAGGCGGGAATCTCGAGTTAGCATACGTGATTCTTTTGACTTAAGTCTATTCTTAGTTTATAGTCTTGGGCCTAGGTGTAACTAGAGTTAATATTCTTTTCTCTTTAAATTTAGGAACAGATTTAAGATATTACGGAATTGACAGTCAGACATGTTTGAATTTTCAAGGAAGGTAGCTCAGTTCGAACCATTCAGTGTCCCCTCCATTACAATACTGTTCTGATCCTTCATATTTTTTCTATTACATTTAAATTTTGGAAAAACTCATGTATTTTTGAGTTGGATGGATTTAACATTTATTTAGTTTTTCTTTTGATGATTTGCATTTCTTCATTATTTTATTTATTTTTTTTTAAAGAGAAAACTTACTTTAACATGTTTTTAATTTTCTTTTAATTAAATTTAACTTTTAGTTTAAAAAGAAATATATATATATCCTTTGAAATTTCATGTTCTGTTCACTTGTATTCAGTCCAGAGGCTAGTTTTGGTTAAATGAAGTTTTTATAAATATGGATTTGAGAACAGTGACTTCAATCATATTGTAAGTCATAACCATTTAGAATATTATGTATAATACAAGTACCTGTATTCATAAAAGTCTGAATATGTAATGTTTTAAATATGTACAAGTAATCATGTTAATTGAATTTATTTTAACTCCTTTTGTATTTTTCTTTATTTGCAGTATTCTATTATCTTCAAGCAGGAGAATGGTAAGCAAATGTAATTTTTTAAAAGCTTGAATTTCCCTGCACTATGTAAAATGAAAAGCTTGCTTTTTAAACAAACATATTTGATAAAACATAACAACATAATTTCTCCCTGTGAAAATGTTAATTAAATTTTTTTTTTGTGTACCAGTATGTACCAAAGGAAAGAATGAATCTATAATCAATTAAATTAATTTATCACCAGCACATGAGGACAGTATATGGAGCTGTGCTTGGCAACAGAGTGATAGAGATAGGTCAGAGAACATCATTACAGGAGGGATAGATGACCTTGTCAAAGTGTGGAAATGGTAAGTTTATAAATAGCATCATAACAATGGAGGGGGGGGGGGGGATTGATGACCATGTCAAGGTGTGGAAATGGTAAGTCTATAAATAGCATCATAAGGCCATCTCTAAAAGATTGTTTGGTTGCCCTCTCCAGACCGACTGGCTTAAAATGGCCCAATTCAAATTTTTTTAACCTCCAGGAAACTATTTTTTTTACGCATTCTGGAAAATAGATTTTGAAAAACTTCAGCATTGATGTTGAAATTTTCTTAGAAAAAAAATTTCCCCACCTACCTACTCACCCAATTTTTTCATCCTGAGTCGGGAGAGGACAAACAAACATTATTTTAAACTAGTAGACTAATTGTTCACAGAACAATTAGAGGTCTTTCCACCTTTTTAAGTGTTTCCATGTAATTTGGGCTGTAAAAAAAGAAGAAAACTGAAGGAAAAAAAAAAAAAAAAAAATTGTTCTTCCAGCAGGGATCGAACTCGGAACCCTTAGCTTGAAAGGCAGGCACGCTAACCACTACGCCACCAATTCCGATGAAGATTTATGCAGTAAACTACCTATTCAAGAATAAAAAATTGTTGTACAACGTAGTTATCGGAATTGAATAGTTTTGAGAAACATGTTTCCATATCATTTGGCTTACAAAAGAACAGAAGAAAGAAAGAAAGAAGAAGAAGAAGAACAAAGCAACAAAATAAATAAAAAATCAAAAATTCGTATTTTGCTATAGATTTATTGTCGGGCTCGTTTCTCTATAGAGTTCAAAAGGTCTTTGCGCATCTCCAAAAAAAGATGTTTTTTTTTTTTTTTTTTTTTTTTTTTTTTTTGCGATTTAGGGGCCAATTTTTCTCTCTTTCCCCTTCTCTCTTCCTTTCTCTTCTTCTCTCTTTCTCTCTCTCTCTCTCTCTCTCTCTCCTTTTTTCTTTTTGCTTCCGTGTTGATGGCATTTGTTTACATATAGTTACCATGGAAGTACAATGCATGCATGACATGTGTTTTACTGTGCATATCGTAATTCTATTTTTGTGCACTGTGCATTCGAAGGTTTAATTTGAGGTGTTAAATGTTCTGATTTAGTTAGACTACTTAGAAAAGTGCCGATGAAATAAATCGGACTCGAGGCTAATGGTATGTAGGTCGTCATATAGGAAAACATGGATTGGACTCAAAGCGACCTGACTGCGGATCCTAAGATTGTTGCAGGCTCAGTAAGAAGATTCCTGAATGAAACAAGCTTCCATGTGGGTTATATTAAATGCAGCTATGATAAATAAAATGTTCTACATGCATTTTAAGAAGAAAACAAGATAATTAAAGCGTGGAATAGTTTATTTCATACATTTATATTGGTTTAACCCCCCCTTTTCATATATTCCGTATTTCTCGTATTTTGGATGACCTTGACCTTTGACCTTGACCTAAATTTCAAGGTCAAAGTTTCTAAAGTAGTCGAAGACACTGTTGAAGGTTTCGCATCTCTACGCTCAATGGTTGTGGAGGAGTAGCGATAACAAGGCTTTTGGCACAAGGGGCAAGAAATTTTTAATGCGTCAGGCTAAGGGGTTGAAAAGTGAAATCTGAAAATAGTTTTAAAAGGACATATGATGTATTTAATGTTATGTAATATATGTTGTCAGACAAAAGAGATTTTAAAAGAGCTAAATTTCTCATATTTAGAGTGACCTTGACCTTTGACCTTGAACAAATTTTGAAGTCAAACGACGAAAAATCCAATGCAGTTAGTTTCGTGTCTCTACGATGAATCGTTTTAATTTTTTTCATCATACGTAAGAAGAAAAACTTTCAGGGGGCAATAACTCATCAAAGTGCTGGATCTATCATTTCGCAATGCAAGATCGAAAAGTCTTCTCAAGTAGTCAAAGACATCGGTGAAGGTTTCGTAACTCTAGGGTTTATGGTTTCGGAGGAGTAGCGATAACAAGGTTTTATTGCGAAAGGGGTTATAACTCCTCGAGGGTTCAAAGTTCATATACGCAGGGTCAACTGCAAAAATCTTTTACGAAGTACATTCTTATGGACCATGAATCTTTTCGATAAATCTTGAAACTCAAAAACACGTGGCGGAAAAATAATAATAATAATAAACAGAACAATTTCAATAGGACTTTCCACAGAAAGGTGGAAAGCCCTAATTAGCCTAATAGGAGGAATTGATGACCTTATATTACATGTTCAAAATTCTTTGTCCAAGATAAAACTACAAAAACTCAAACAACTTGATTTCTTCATAAAGCTATTGTTTCATCGATAGGCATGGTTAAAAAAATCATGGGGCAGGAGAGAGAGAGAAGTGGGTGGGGCTTGGATCAAGCTTGTGAATTTACAGAATCATGTAAATATAAGGAATAACTGTCAGATATTTTTGTTTCATGATGATGATCAAGCAATTGGCTTGCATAATAATTTAATGCATAAACGCCGAAGGTGTTTATGCAAATTATCATGCAAGCCAATTGCTTGATCACCTCATAGAACCAAAAAACTAGACAGTTATTCCTTAAATATATGTGTAGATTGAAATGGTGTATCTATAAAGGATTATAACAAAGGGGGATAGCTGCAGAACTGTAGCATTATGGTTTTATAATTTAGTCTTTGACCATAAGGCTACAGATCCTGTAATGCAAATAAAGAGCAAATTACAGCGCAAGATTTTCTGCGCACTTTGAGGATGTATTTCGCCACTTTCCAGCATTTGTCAATTAACGACCTTTCATTCCCTAATTCTAGACATATTCTATAACCAACCTGTATATTTTATCCACCTCCTAACCCTTTATAGTTGTCTCTACAGACCAATAAACTCGCTTGTTGTGAATTTATTGTCATCTGATGAAGATTACTAAGTTATGTTGATGATATTTGAGTTATGATGATGATGTTGATGATGATTATTGAGTTATGATGATGATGATTATTGAGTTATGTTGATGATGATTATTGAGTTATGTTGATGATGATTATTGAGTTATGATGATGATTATTGAGTTATGTTGATGATGATTATTGAGTTATGATGATGATGATTATTGAGTTATGATGATGATGATTATTGAGTTATGATGATGATGATTATTGAGTTATGTTGATGATGATTATTGAGTTATGATGATGATTATTGAGTTATGATGATGATGATTATTGAGTTATGATGATGATGATTATTGAGTTATGATGATGATGATTATTGAGTTATGATGATGATGATTTTTGAGTTATGATGATGATGATTATTGAGTTATGATGATTGAGTTATGATGATGATGATGATTATTGAGTTATGATGATGATGATGATGATGATGATGATGATGATTATTGAGTTATGATGATGATGATTATTGAGTTATGATGATGATGATTATTGAGTTATGATGATGATGATTATTGAGTTATGATGATGATTATTGAGTTATGATGATGATGATTATTGAGTTATGATGATGATGATTATTGAGTTATGATGATGATGATTACTGAGTTATGATGATGATGATGATTACTGAGTTATGATGATGATGATGATGATTACAGGACGGGGGAGAAGTTAGAACTGAGACACGTCTTGGAGGGTCATCAGCTGGGGGTCGTCTCTGTTGATATGAATCTTAGTGGAACATGTAAGGGGCTATTAGACTTTTTATTCTGACTCGGAGATAAATGGATTCTTAAAGTGAAATTACTTGATGAACTTTTTGAATTATTTAACTTAATCATTAATATTCATTACTTACATGTAAATAATTTATTAATAAAGTTATAATTGAATTATGTTTTTTTTTGCAATATTTTTGCAAATGAATTAACATTCCTGTATATTAATTAATATAAAGCTTATGAAATAAGTTTTCTCAATTTTTCTAAATTTATGTAAAGTAAAAGTTACATTCAAAATTTTGTTTTCAATGTATTAGAGTGTACAACAGACCAAAAATAGGTTCTAAATTGATTGAATAACTTGTCTGATTTTTATGAACCAAGATGCTTATAGTAACATATCTATATTTCAGTGGCTGCGTCCAGCAGTTTAGACAGTCATGTAAGAGTCTGGGATGTAGACACAGGAAAATGTATCAAAAGCATGGAGGCGGGACCAGGTAAACACATAAAGTAAAATAAGCTTATAACAAAGTGCCAGGGGCGAATGTTTTTGCTTTGTTATAAACGTAATTCATTGTATCCACTAAGTTCACAATATATTTTTAAGCCACGGGGAATGAAAATCACTTTGATTTAAGTGTCAATTTGTTATAAGCAAGTTTGTTATAAGAGCATTTTTCTGTATACTGGTATCATTTATCAGTGCTATCTCAGTATAAAAATTTTGTATGGCAACAAGGTCAAATGAGTACTGTGCATTGCTCTCAAAGTCACAAATGAAAATATTTAATCACAGTAATTAACAGAACATAAATTATTCCTCGATCCTCAAATTACATGGCTAAATTATGATAATGTTATCAAGAGTTGCATTTTCTTATTCCTAGGATTTGACATAGTTAATCTTATAAAATTTATATGTGTGATTTGCATTGTGCAGTCATATAGTTGTAGTCACATAAAACTAAATCAAAGACTGTAAAATTTATGCCTGTATAACTCTCTACATATAATAAAATGTTTATGAATAGAGCTGAAATCATTACATATATATATGTAAAGAAAGATTATGGTATTCTTAACTGTGTACTGTTTTATATATATGTAAAGAGAGATTATGGTATTCTTAACTGTGTACTGTTTTATATATATGTAAAGAGAGATTATGGTATTCTTAACTGTGTACTGTTTTACAGTTGATGCTTGGACTCTTGCTTTTTCTCCGGACTCCAGAATTTTAGCAACTGGAAGTCACAGTGGAAAAATTAACCTATTTGGAGTCGAGTCCGGACGTAAGGAAGAATCACTAGACACCAGGGGGCGCTTTACCTTAAGTATTGCATATGTAAGCCAAAAATGTTCACAAGCCCATTTCCTTAAAATTTGTTTTTGATTAAGGAGATAATTCGTCCTGACAGTTGAAAAAAATTTCTTTCATTTTTTTATGTTTATTAGAGTCCAGATGGAAAATTGATTGCCTCGGGTGCTATTGATGGAATCATCAATATATTTGACACACAGACTGGGAGACTTATCCACACATTAGAAGGTAAATCTTCAGAGGAAGGTCTTCATGCAGTTCTATGGTACCTCAATAAATATCAAACACCAGTAAACTGGTCACTTGTACAGTTTTGGGGAACCAGTTATTGACATATTACAGAAAGGTTTTAATAAAAAATTCTGTCAATTGAATGGATTACTTTTTTTTAAGTTTTATTGTTCAACAGTTGATAAGATACCTCTGTACATCACAGCTTGTTTGTACAGACTTGGCCACAAGAAACTGTTCATGTATAGTAAAATTAAAAGGGACTTGGTTAGAAGGAAATCTCACTTAAGGTTTAATTCTTTCTACTCCCTATTTGTAATATCATAACACTTTCTCAGTTACAAGGAACTTAAGTTTTATGTCCAACAGACTTCCTTATAAGCAAGTTTTACTGTATTTAACACCTGTTTTCTGAATGGTTGTGTATCATGTAAACGTATCAGAGGAAATAAGAAAACTAGTTGGGTAAAAAAATGACAGAACAACAATGTTGGAATTATTTGAGAATGTTCCCTTACTAACTATATACATGTATTAATTTCAGGTCATGCCAAACCGATTCGGTCGCTGTGTTTTTCACCGGATTCTCAGCTTTTGGTGACAGGTTCAGATGACAACCAGATCAAAATTTATGATGTGTAAGTTTTTTTTCCTGCAATCAAAAATATATACATGTACATAGTATCTTTTTAAGTGCCATTTCTGAAGTTTTTAATACATATTACAGTGTATATCCTTATTTCTCATAGACTTTTTTGGTATAACTTGAAATTTCATTTCGTTAACATAAACTTTAATTTTGTATATTGCATGGTTAGTTTGTACTCAGGTACTTATTTCAGCTTACTTTATAAAGGAAATAAAGTGCTGTCAATTAAAGAGTTATCTCTCTTAGCAGAGTGGTCATTTCTCTTTAATTACGTAATATTCTTTCATACAGACAACATGCCAACTCAGTAGGTACCCTGTCGGGACATGGGTCCTGGATTCTTAGCGTAGACTTCTGTCCTGATAACACACATTTTGTTTCCAGGTAAGTGACAAAATTAATGATCTTTACTGGTAAATCCCCAAGTTAGATGGCTGTATTGAATGATCTTAAAGTTTTTGTGAAACTACCAGATAGTTGCTGAAAATTATATTTTATAGACATGGAAGCATGTTGATATCAAAATAATGATTCAAAATCTAATATTCAGCTGTTTGAAATGATTTAACAATAAGATAGCATTCAACAAGACGTGCTCTCGAAGTATTTACAGTTTACAGAGGAACTTTACATTATTTTCTTAGAAATAGAGTTTTATATGAATAATTGAATTTATTGGATGGATTTAAATTGCAGTAGTAATATTGTTTAATTTTAAATTATCACATTCTGTTTTTATCACAGTTCATCAGATAAGACAGTGAAAATCTGGAATGCCGGTAGTAGACAATGTGTACACACATTCTATGACCATTCAGATCAAGTAAGTCCATCACCAGGGTAACGACCCACTTCTATCCTCCCCCCACCCCCTTATTGCTAAATGTCCTCTCTTTTTATTCTGTATTAATTCAGATTTTTAAATGCAACTGTGTTGACTGGAAATCTCTACAGGTTTGAAATTCTCATTTTGAAATAGTAATATCTTACGGAGGATTGTAATTAAATTCCACATTAGAAATATTCACTAAAGAAAAAGAAAAGTGTTGTTGTGTTATTGTATATACAATGATATTTTGTTTTAAAATTTGAATTCTCTTAAATCCTCCTATCCATGTACATAATATAGATATATTCATGATAAACTCTGCAGTCACAAAGATTTAGTAAATGATTAATTAAAGGAGGAATGACACATAAGCACAATTTGTTTGAAAAGGAAGTACATTTATGTAACAACTTTATGGTTAAAGGTCAGTTTAATAGTCATGCTTAATTTCTTCCTCAGGAATTATACAAAAAGCAATGCTTTTACATTGAATTTAGTAAATTTTATATATTTTAGAGTTCTTGATACTGAAAGATGATCAAAGATAATTAAAAAATGTATTTAGTTCTTTTCACCTATCATAGTTTTCCCTAGTGAGTTTTTCATCATTAATTTAAAACTTTTTTCCTTCACAGGTATGGAGTGCCAAATATAACAGTGCAGGGTCTAAGATTGTGTCCGTATCTGATGACCGGGCAGTCCATATCTACGATTGTCCACCGGTCTGAAACTGACCATACCACTGACTCATCATCACAAATCATGGCATCTTTTATCATCTTTGTCATCTTCATTAGGCAATGTTTATATGAAAATGAGATTGTGGGAATTTTCATAGACCGTGAAATGAATTGTTATTCTTGGTACATGTATAAAGATCAATAAAATTTGTATGTTATGTTGGTTTTCTGCGAAAATATATACATACTTTCAAAGGGAATATTAACTTTGCCACTAGGGGTTGAAATAATAACATGTTAGCTGTGGAAGATGATGTCTTTAGACTTTTACAATGCTTGATGAAATTTACTCAGAATTTGGGGATTTAAATTATATATTTATGTATTATTATTTTGTACATAAAAACATTTTTCACAGATTGAAGGAATCAAATTTAAACAAATGAATGAGGTTAATTCCATGATCAATAAACATAAAAAGGATAGGTCTTCGTTTTTTTTTCTTGTGTGTGTCTATTTCCTCTTTGAATCATCCCCCCCCCATAATTCCAACACATTGTTTCTTGTTTATTTTGAAGGAGGATTATATTCAGGCCTACAAAAATGTATAAAGTTTCTTTGGGCCACACCAATTTGAAATCTTATTTGTCGGACATTTGATGAAAAAAAAGTAGGAGCTGGCAAGCGTTTAAATAATATTATTACTTTTTTGTTGGTAAAATTTTTAGGCGGAGCGCGAAAAAATTTGAGTGGACAATTATATTTTTTCGGATTTGCAGAGTAAGCAGATTTAAAATGTGAAAAATAGAGCGGAAATGGAATAGAAAATAGCACAGAATTTCCATGGTTCGAGAAATAAAAATTAATATTATTTGTGTAGTTTTGCTTAAATACGAGCGCGCGGGTACGAAGAAAAAAATTTATTGATGTGGCCTTGAGTTAATCCGCAGTAACTGTCCATACAAGAGCAAAAAGATACATTATGAATCGACTGCTCTTACTTTTTTTTTTTTTAGAGGAAAAGGTGGGGTGTAAAAAAAAGAAAAGAAAGAGAAAGACGCACAAATTTTGAATTGGTGCGCAATGCATTCATAAAAATATTTTGCAATTTGCATGACTGCACACCTTGCAATTCACGGACAGAAAACGGTATTTACAAATATAGGCATTGTATGCAAGATGTATGATATAAGAGATTTACGTGTATCTGTCAGTGCATAGTAAACAACATAGTCCGTTGCGTCATGTGCGCGCAAATGGTTACACTTGTTAGATACTTCATTGAATTTGTCAGAGATGATAAAGAAAAATAGAAAATGCGATACAAATAGAAAATAATAAGTTTGAATGAATAAATTTATTGCGTTAATTCTTATTTAGCATCATTTTCTAACAAATATACGCAGCTCTGCATTAATGGAAAATTAATAATAAAACATATTTGTTATTTGTCTACTGGGCCTAGTATTTTCTCGTGCTTATATATGCTTTAACAAAACCAAAAAGTTCATCACATTTTTATTTTCCTTTATCATTTTTAATAGCGTTTTGATGTAAAATAAACATTTTTTTTCAGGTCCAACCCACTCAAGAACCTGTCTTTACGGAAAATGTCACTCAGCAGAATGATAAAATTAATAAAAAATTAATTAATTGAACTATTTTAAGGTTAGTTAAAATACCGACGATAATAAAAATGTTTGGTACATTTAATTTCTTCATCATGCATACTTTGTAACGTGATAAAAAAAATTATGAATGATGTGTAGGGTCAGAGAATGATTAGCTATTATTAATCCGTTTAATTAAAAATACTCATATTCTTAATTGCAATCGTCACCGTACAAAAACGGGAATTCACTTTGAATGTCAGATGGAAGGAGAGAAAAATGTTTTTAAAACCACATCACAAGGTATTTATTTTGCATGTTATGCACGAATTGTCACGGTAACTCTGAAATATAATTATTGCAGTAATTGGAGTAACGAGAATTTGTAAGAGAGCCCTCGGGAGATTCAAATATTAACGAAGTTGAGACGAACTTTTTTTTCTTTCAAGAAAAAAAATTTCTCAATATTTCTATTTCTTATTCATATGAAATTTTCTAAAATCTTTACTTAAAAAAAAATAAAAATAGAATCAGATAATATATTTTTCTGTGGTTTATATTTGGCGTCTTTTGAAAACGAAATCAAAAATCCCTTTAAAAATATCTTGGCATTCTTATTTTTCAATTACTCAGTTTGTATTAACATCACGACATGAGGGATCTAGAAGGGGGAGGGTCCGGGTTCTCCGGAGATTTTCAGAGTTATTAAATTTATATACATATATTAAAGTAACCCATTAATGACCCCCCTCCCGAAAAACACGATCCTCTTAAGTTGATAAGGAGAGTCATGTATATTTATATGAAAGAAAGTGCAAATCAAAACTCAACCCCCCTCTTTTACCCCCAGGAAATAGGTTTCTCGAGATTTGATATTTTTTTTTATTCGCTCGCCTTCTTTCCCCTCTTCTTTTTTTATTTTATTTGATGCACTGTACATTGTAGAGGACGTACGCATTGTTTAGGATACCCCCCCTCCCCACCAGGCACAAGAAAAAAAATTAAGTTGGATCAACACCGGTTTAGCGATATAATATATTAAACTTACAAAATAAGGCAACTGGGTCCCGTTTTACAAAAGAACTTACGACTAGACCAAAAACTTCAGGTGAATGTAAAATCTTGAACAATTACAATGATTCTATCACATGTACAAATTGCAATCATAAATATATATCTTTCCAAATTAGTTCTTTTTTCAAAAAATCGACTAAAACCATTATCATATTAACCTAAAAAAGAAAGTTATTTGCAAAATTACATTTTGGTCTTTGTCGTAAGTTCTTTTTGCCAAACGGGGCCCAGAATAATTCCCTTATCTTAAACACCTATAAAGTGTGAGAAAAGTAGTAAAATGGTTATAATTTTGTACCCAATGCGTAAAAACCAATGTTGTGTCAACATTTAAATGACGACACAACACCGTCAAAGACATCTAGACAACAATGGTGTCATCTCGTGACGTCACTGAGCACCCCGGGGGGCAGTGTTAACAAGACACATTCCCCGCCCCCTAACGAACATATTCACCCTCAATATACCATAGTGTTTCGCGAATCTCCAAAACACGTGTTTTTAAATACACAAAATGTTGCTGTTCAGTTTGCAGCTGACAGTTAGAAGACAAATGTCTGCTCGCAGTGACGTTCACAGAAATTGGGATTTCGTATTTACCCATTATTTCTAATATGAAGCTTTCTTAGAAAAAAAAAATTGTGTATTGTTTAATTTTGTACATTTGTAATTAATATAATGGCCATAGCAGGTATTAGTGCTACCTTTATTGTGATATTTCTGCGATTGGGAGGAGCGTTTGCTCAGGTAAGCACATACATGTATATTTACACATGCAATATATATAATATTTTTTTAATATAATAATTTTTTTTCTTTACAGCAAATTTATATGTGTATTTCATTATTATCATTTCTCTGGTGTACTTCTGTCATAGGATAAAACGTGAGTCCAAAACGTGAACAAAATTAATAGTCTATAGGATGTGCTGACCACATTTTGACCACATGTCAACATTGCATATGGAATCAGTAGCAAAATATCGTTCATGCATACTTATACAGTAATATTAAAACTTCATTTTTTTTTCATGGAATAAAAAATGGTTTTGTCTTCCTCTCCTTTTCTCCACCCTTTAAAAACGTACTTTTTAAAGCAACATGAGCTGCATTTTTGAGAATTTCATTTTGCTGTTAAAATGTGCTGTTATGATAAATCTGTATGTAATTAAAACCTTTATGATCAATTAGACTAAAATAAAGCATTCATTTTTTTTTCAAAAGAAAGATTTCTGAACAGTAGAATGTACAGTATTATATAATGAATCAATATTGTACAGGACGACAATAATGTAATTTTGCTTGAGTCAAAGCTTCCATCGCAAATATGAACAACAGAAGTTTATAATTGATATTTTTCTGTCATTGAAATTGTTAATTACGATTTGCCACAAAAATTTCCGACATCAAAGTTGCAGCTCATATTGCTTTTAGCAAAAATCGAAGAAAATCTTTAAAAAAAGTAAATAAAAAAATTAATAAATAAATTAATTATATTCATAGTATTTCCTCCGTTTATTATGAAAAATAATACATTTGTTCTCAAAATGTATCCATGGTTGACCTAGAATGGTCATAAATGTATTTCTATAAACGCCTGCATATATATATATATGTACCTAGCACACGTCATTACGGCCGGTTTTCCATTAATCTTTACCGTAATAAAGTTATAGTGGCGGATCCAGATTTTTTTTTCAACAGTTAAGTCCAAAAATATAATTATATAAATATAAGTACATAAATTAGTCTGTTCTAGCTATTAATCATCAGAGGAGAAAAAAATGTTTAAAATTGAGCAAAGAAAAAAAGGGGGCGGATGGGGATGCGGACAGATAGAATGACACTTTCTCTCAGTCATGCACTCAGGTTGTAAGCCCGACTTCTTAAGGAAGCTCTAAACACTAACAGAAAGTGCTTTTTGGACTTGGAGAAAAATATATCATATAAAGGTGTGCATATTGAGTCTATTTAGTTCATGTTCAACATAGGGTACCTGCCTTATTTCCGCAGGAAAAATGTTCAAAGACAATGGACTATGCGTGAGCGGAAATCACTGTTGTTTACTTACATTGGGAAAATTAATGGAAAAAATGAATTCAATTACTTATTCTCGGTCTAATATAATGCTAGGAATATTCTGATCTATTACAAATTGTGTAATTAACTGTAAATAACCATTTTTTCTATCTTACTTACAAGGGCAGATCACTCTAACTGCATAAAACTAACCCATAAGTAGAACTCTTTAGTGTGCAGTGTTTATAGAGCTTCCTTAGCACTGGTTTACTCCCAATGTGGAGAGAGAAAGCGAAGAGAAATGCAGTTTACCAAATTGAATTTCTTTCCAGGAGTTTATTAAATGCATATATTTTATTGACTTTGGTTTTTATTTTATTATAAATACATATTCCCAATTCTCTTCATAAAAAAGTTGATATTGATACATCTGTATATAGCTTACTCAGCCACCAGGTCGAAAATAGCAGACATGACAGACAATAGCTGTCAGAACGATAATTAGTAATTTCTGTATCACTACCACTTCTTAATTAAACAATTAATTAACTGCTCATTAATAACAAGATAAAAAGTATACTCATGAATGATAATGATTTAAGACTTTCCTCTCATCAGTTTTTGTTGTAAAGATTTTTTTTACATTCCTTCTTATTCAGTCATGTGTAATATGCTGAAACAGCTAATTAAAATCACGATATTACATTTAATATTAATGATTAGCTTGTACTTGTACAATTTTACTAGAAACATTCATTCTAATCGAGCTCTACTATTTTTTTGGAACAGGGAAACCAAATAGCGTCAGCCAACAGGATTGTCGCTGGTAAGAGTTTTATTGATATGTAAATCCCAATTTTACACATCACGTTTAGGCCTAGAAAAAAATGTTTAAATTTTTGCTTCCCATCTGGAAAAATAGGGTAGGTAGGATTTTTCTTCTTCCTGAACTTCGAATCATCAAAGTGGCAAAAGAAATGGTGTTTTAAAACTTTCTTTTGACTTAAATGTAAAATGGGAATTTTCATACAGACAAGAACTGAAAATTCAGATTGTCTTCCAATGAAAAAAAGCATTAAAAATTTTGGGAATAGCGCTATAAATAAAGAAGAATGCCCCCCCCTTTATTTTTTCTGGGCCTTATATACATCCCTTATTCGGAATACCCTCCATGAATGGAAGCTCCTGGTCTTCTTTAATTTTCAAGATTAAAGATTTGTCATTTACTGGATTAATCAATGAAATGCACTCTTATTTTACAAGTGATGATAAAATATAAAGAAACCAATAATTTAAAAAACCCACAAATTGATATAAAAACATGAAACTACTCAATATATAAACATTTCCTATGATATATATCTATTTCCTGAGCATGTTGCATTAAAATATTAGTAAATATACATTTAATATGTATGCTTATTGAAGGAGTATTGCCTCTTAAATCCGCTTTGTCATAATCGCTATGAAGAAAACGTTTGTATCAAGCCCAGTAATTTATTTTTTTAAACAGAAAGAGGACACTACTTGCTAATTGCTCTCTCTCTCTCTTTCTCTCTTTGTAACACTTTAAAGGCGTGAACATTTATTTCTGCTTATGTTAATACACGTAACTTCTTTTGACTACAGGAAAAAACCCCTCACATTCGTTAAGAAAAACTGAAATGCTTCAATAAAGGAATACATGTTTTTTCAAGGAGGAAGACCATTTGAAGTTGTCCAGGCAAATGACGGAAGACGGATCCTAGTTTTTCTTGAAGAAGGAGGTGGCAGACGACAGGTTCAGACGTTGTCGCCACAAAGTCAAGGTATTGTCGAGGCCTTCCCTCGAGATCTTTCCTCGTTGTCAAGGAGACAGCGTCGTGGTCTCGAAAGCTTACGAAGAGACTTGATCAGACGTGTACGAAGACGTACAAATTGGAGTCGATACACAATACAGAGTGATCAGAATGGGACGCCTGAATTGGTTCGTAGAAGAAGTAGACGCCAGAGGGCGCTTTCAAGAAACGACGTCATACACATGATACGGGTAATTAACCAGTATCTATCCGGAGAGCTAGCAACATCTGGGACAACAAGCAGTTTATCAACTTTATTTTCTTCACAAATGACTTCACCTTTAACGTCAACATTTAGATCAAGTTCAACAACCTTTAACCCAACGACATCAACGACAACCTTACGAACAACAACCACCTTAAGACCAATTTCAGTTGTATCATCAACAACTCCGTCATCTCGTATTTCAGAGTCACAGCGTATGATGCAACAGCTTAAAGAAGAGGAACAAAGACTTGTGTCACTCATGCAAACCACGACTTCACCAACTACAAGACTTGCAACAGTTAACACGATTGTAAACAGGCTAAAAGACAACGAAAGACAAATCTTACAAGAACTTGCCAATTTAGAAAGAACTACAATACTACCACCGACTTCCCAGGTGACACCTAGCTTAGCTTCCAGAGAGTCCATCCTCAACAAAACACGGGCAGACATTGCAGTGGTGACTCGGGATCTTCAACGGGTCCAAAGCGCACTTCTTCAGAGACTTCATAGAGGAGACATTATGAACAATGAACGTAATACCCAAAGTAATGCAGAACTTATTCGTCTTCGAAATATGGAGCGAAATCTTCTTCAAAGACGACGGTTTCTACAAGAAAGTCAGGCTAATCAGATTTCACACGATCGAATTCAACCAATTGCAAAAGAGAGGAGAGATGAAATAATGACGTCGATTAATAACTTGCTGAACGGACAACAAATAGGGACAGCCCCACTTACCAGTGATCTCCAGAAAGTCAATACAATTCATTCTAAGTTTGAAAACGTCTTACTTTCGCTTGAAAAGGTCTTAAGTAAAGACGAACAATTGTTCCTCATTCATATTCTTGGTGAAATAGAGAAAGGAATAAAAGTGGACAGAAACAATGCTCAACTCAACCAATTATTGCAAAAACTTTACAATTTGTTACCTAGTACCGATTACGTATTTATAAGAGACTTGTTGTTGGGAGATAGCACTGAAAATTTAACCAAACCTATCACACTACAGCCACCGAACACTCTGTCTGGTTTTCCGAGTAATCAAGTACAGTCTTTCCATACAAGTGATATAGACAAAATAGCCCAAGTCGTACAATCTCATCTTCAACCCCAGGAACTAGAAGTTGTATTGAAACTTATCTCCATGAATCAGCAAAATGGGTCACACCTTCAAACTCCGTATGTTCGTCTCATTCTTCAAAAGCTACAGAAAATGCTTACTTTCTCGGAATACAAAACCCTCGAAAGACTGATAAACGGAGGAAATGGACAAAATCAGCACCCAGTTGCGCATGCCAACGCTGTAAACCCAAGATTCAACCCAGCAACGCAGGAAATAACACAGATACATCATCAGTTAAATCCTTTGCAACACCAACAAATAGATAATAACAACATGCCCCCATCCACATCGGAATTTGTTGGTCAGCAGACAGTGATGCAACAGCAAAACCAACCTTCAGCTTTGACTGGTCAGACTGGCATTCATCCGTTGGGTAATGTTCCTGCAACATCACAAGTTTTCCCTGGAGTGATGAATCAGATGATTCATCCGATGTTTCCCCGCCTCCCGTCTGCTTTCATGCAGGAGCTCATGTTTGGTGACACAACCGATCCTCCAGATATCCCTGACCCCAGCACCCCACCCCCAACAAAAGCACCAGAGGCAACCGTGTTGTCCTCAAATATAGGGATAGTAGATAAGGTGTCTTCATCTTCAACAGTGAAAGGAGGAGATATGGCGTTTTACAAATTACCAACCTCTACCCCTAATCCTAATTTTGACAAGGGAAACAATTCCAAGAAAATTACCTCGCATATTAATACAATTATGAACGTATTGAAAAATTCTGGGATTCCTAAAAACGTTAAACTAGAGTTCCATCTACCACAACAGATGCAGGTTAAGAAAGAAAGTTTGTCGACGGTGGAAAATAAAGCAGAACCTCAAACTCCTCATGTATTTACTCCACTTGCAAAACCAGCAGTTACATTTCCCTTTAAACTTGAACAAAATGCCAAAAATACTCAACCTGACAGGAAAAAAGATTACATAATACTAAATAATCAACAATCTCAAGTTTTCGCGCCTTTCGATCGGACAGGGGAAGCTACTCCAGTTCGTGTTCAAGTACATGATACTCAACCAAAAAATAAACCTACTTTTCGTGGACCTCTTTCTAACCCCGGCATCCAGGATAGATACCAGGTGATCAGCGAAAGTCATAAGGATGATTTAAAGAAAATTGGTGCTAATATCTCAAATATGAAGACATCAAATTATATCGGGGAGACACCGGTTGTGTATGAAGATCAACAATATCCAAGAAATGTTATTTCGCAAAATAAGAGGAACTCAAATATGAGCTTCACGAATCTCATCGGAGATAGACTGGGAGATAATGAAAGAGTATATCGTAGAAAACCCCCCGCACCAAAGTCTGTAGAAGAACTTGAACAGATGAACAAACGCTACTTTCAAATTCCATTAAAACAGTTGTTTCCGGGTCCATTCAAGCAGGAGACGCCCAAAAGCGACAATCCCCATACCACAGTAGATGTCAATCGTAGAGTGCTTCCAACCGCACCCCCTTCTCAATTGCAATTTAAGATACAGTCTAGAGAAGGAAATATACAAAACATTCCGTCCAAAGCAATATCTTCTCTTTTGCAGCCTGGGATATCAAATCAATTTTCCAACAAAATGGCATCAGGTGCAGTGACATCTGAAATAAGGTTAGGACCAATTTTGCCTACGAGACAAATGCTTACAAACACAGAGCAATCAAAGATACTAGATAGCACAAAGAACATTATTGACAATAGTCATCCTTATACGCATGTATCTTCAGATAGCAATGTCAAACCTACTATAAATTTTATGACTGAATCCAAAAATCTTGAAAATATAAATCAAGGTATAGAGATGAATTCTGCTAATAAAAAGAATGTGATTCACTATACAAAGCCTGTATCAAATAAACCAACAGAAGGGATCCCTGTTACTTTGCCACCTCAGCAAGCTTCTTTCAGTGTTCCTCAGACAAACCAATTTCTACAAAAGACGACAGACCATGGCAGGAAATGGGAAGATGTAAAGAAGCTAGAGAAAGCCGCTGACAATCAGATAAAGAATGTAATCTTACACAGCGGTGGTCAGGTGAAAACGTCCTTCTGGGATAACCTTATACAGCAGGCAAAGTCGGGCACTTCATCTAACCAAGTGATTAAAATTAATCTTGATTCAAATCTGTTAGAATCTCCTTTGCTGAATGAAAAGAAGACGAATGTCAACAACCCGAAGATGGAAGAAGTAGAGGCTGAAGACACAACCACTACTACCACCACAACTACAACTACTGCCAAACCAAACGAAGAGTTCCGAATGGAAATTCATACCAGTCAAGATGGCGTCAGTAAGATAAGTATCATTCCACAGGCGACTGAAGGTGATAAACATAATTCAAAATGCACACCATCATCAGAAGATTTTAGATGTTCTGGGGTGGTGCCTTTTGATGCAGTAAAATCTATTGGAACATGGTGCTTGGCAAAATGTTTACAAGGGTCTTGTGTAGAAACTGTGTGTAACTGTTCATGTGATAAAAGGCTTCATTCTTTTTCTGACCATTCACAAGGAGAAAACATGGCTTTCGCATTAACAAAGGGTGACAACTCAAATTCTACTCAAATACAGGCAACACTTAACGAGATCTACTCTTCGTTAAAGGAAAACACTAACTCTCAAGCTCAAACAAGTAGTAATGATTTGTCAGGAAGAAATGAGAATTATGAAAATGTCCAGAGAATGAGTGTACAGAGTGTAAATAACAGACAAAGTGCAGCACCCAACGATCCTATGAATGTCCAATTCCTGCTTCGGTCAATAGAAGGCATGATAGAAAACAAACTTCGAGGATTGACTCCAACAAAAACGTCTCCTCCACCAGAGGAGGAGGTGGAAGCAGAGGACATCGTCACAACAACCCCTCCCTCTAATAATAACTGGAATAACAATGGTAATAATGACAACAATAACGGGAATAACAACGAAAATTATAATAATAACAACAATTGGAATAACAATGGAAATAATAAAAACTGGAAAAACAATGAAAATGATAATAACTGGAATAACAATGGGAATAATAATAATAACAATAACTGGAATAACAATGAAAATAATAATAACTGGAATAACAATGGGAATAATAATAACAATAACTGGAATAACAATGGAAATAATAATAACAATAACTGGAATAACAATGGAAATAATAACAATAATGGAAACGGCTGGAATAATAACATGCCACAAAACGGACATAGTTCAAACAATAATAATAATGGTAATTGGAATAACCAAAACAATGGGAATAATTGGAATAATAATGGCAATAACGGGAATAACAATCCGAATAACTGGAATAATAATAATAATAATAACAATAATTGGAATAACAATTGGAATAATGGAAATCAGTGGGGAAACAATGGTCAGAACAATGGGCAATCGCAAAATGGAAACTGGAATGGACCAAATAATTTCGGATGGAATGGTCCGCCTCCATATTGGAATCAAGGTCAATGGAATAATGGTGGCGGACCTAACAACCACTGGAATAATAACCAACAATGGAATAACTGGGGCAGACCTGGGAACTGGAACATGGCCTTTTCCCGGCGAAATCAATGGCAGGGTGGCGAGGGTGCCGAGGCGGCAGATTGAAGAATTAACTTTCCTGAGGCTAATCCAGAAGTGACGGATATCCTTAGACTGAGGAATCAAAGTTCATGTCTCAAAAGACTTTGATTTTTCCTCGTACGGTTTCTGAGTGTGTGCAATGCTAAGAGAACAGATTTTGTCTCGTTTTAATATAAATTTGTGGGTCTCTGTTTTTTCCACGGTACCACATTCTTTCTTGCCTCAGGTAAATAGCTTTAAAGCAAAAGAGGCATGGGTGCAATATGAAATTATCCATTTTTGTTGTACAAATCTAGTTATTTTTAGAGCAATGGCGTATTAATACTTGACTTTTAATGAAATTCAAATGTATTTTTTCATTATATATGTATTTATGACGTATTCAGTCATTTTTGTTCAATCAAATCTTCGAAAGCTGCATAATAACGAATGTATTTCCAGAGAGAGAGAGAGAGAGAGAGAGAGAGAGAGATTTTGGATGAATCTTGATTTGATTGCTTTACAGAGTTTATCAATTGATGTTAAATCAGTTGAAGTTAATTCATAGAAACAATAGACCGTAATAAACCCCTGGTTACAGTTAATAAAATACAATTTTTTTTATAGAAAGAAAAAATAAAATGTGAATAAAAAATAAATAAATTTTAAAACAGCTTTCCTTATTGTAGATTTTTAATGCGTTTAATCTGTCTTTTTTCTTAGTTTTTTTTTTTAATTTAAAAATTACTTTGCTGGCCATATATAAGGTAACATAGCTGAGTTTGCTGATGAAAGGAAACTATTTCATCGAACGTGTGTTTACACGTGTTAACATGAACTCTGATATTGGGGCACTGTGAATCTGTTAGGTCATTCTACCTGGAAAGAAATATTACTACTCTCTTTTTTTGGCAGTTTTAACATTCTCGCCTTAAAAACATAAACACATTGTTACTGTAAAAAAAAAAAAAACAAAACTATAAAGGATACCTGGGTTTCATGTTCGGACACAAAGATACTTATGGACAAGCGTGGCGCATTTGATTTTTGAAAAGGTGGTACAGGAGTTCTCATTTTCAGAAATTGTACAATGGTTTGTTTGTATTGTTTTGATATTATATGTTTTCTAATAAATAAACAGAAATTAGAAAAATAGACCATATTTTATTCGTTCTGTTTATTTTTACTATACGAATAAAGGTGAAATTGTCAGTATTTTGCATATTTTTTGATAAATATAATATGATATAATATATATTACAATATAATATAAATATAATTAAAACAAAATATTACTAATGCTAAATTTGATAGTTCGGAAGAAAAATCTCTTTTTTTTTAATTTACATATGGATTTTCTCCATTGTAAGATAATAAACATTTCACGAACTTGTATAAGAAATATCACTGTGATCTCGATTCTTAATATTATTTCAATTTTCCCGGAAGATCTGTGGTTGTAAACTTTGTAATTATATGAGAGGCCGCATATCTTTGACCAAGAAGAAAATTTAATTTGTATGACGATCACAACCGTTTTCCGTCTGGAAAAAGACTGTGAAATCACTTATTTTCGTAGGCGTATATTTTCGTTGGTTTTGTGCAATGAAGACATCCAAGAATTCATGTCCACCACGAAATCTAATCCCCCTGAACCTATATTTTTGCCTCAAACCACGAAAATTTGACCCAAGAAAATATGATTTTACATAAAAAAAAAAAAAAAAAAAAAAAAAAAAAAAGAATAATTCACGTCATTGCAGTTCCAATCTTTTTTTCTTTTTTTAAAGGAAATGATAGAGAGGTCTAACACTAGACTTTATTTAAGGTCCAATGACTATCTGATAAGAGAGATAACTCTCACTTGAGCTATTATTCCTTTCTAAAATTGTCACGTTAAATGGAAATTTCTGTCCAATAAATGCTGAAAGTGTTCGCATTTCTCTATAAACCAGATTTCTTTTAGAAAACTGTTAATGTTAAAACAAAATTTTATATGAGTTAACAGTTTGATGATAAACATTAATCAGCAGTTCATTTTCACACAGTCAGCAGAAAGGAATTCTCTGTAAATATATAACATTGGTCTTGTACAAGAAACACATACTGGGTATATCAGAAAAAGTACAAGGATTACATATATCAGAAAAATGTTGGAAAATAAATCCCTCTAGTGACTATGAAATTTCAAGGAGGCTTTGAGGATCAACAAATTTATCCAACAAATCCACCTAGAAATGTGAAACATTTTTTTATCAAGCCATAAACTATTATTTAATTAAAAAAAAACCCAACTCATATTCTATCTGTAATATTTAATGCGATTTCCTATATTTTTTTTTACAGAGCTTTTTTTTTTCAGGAGGTTTAAATAGTACACGGCCATTACCACCCGGTCTTCTTAAATAGGCAAAGCAAGAACAGGAATCTGCATAACAAAGTAGTCCGTTACATCTTGCGCACGCAATTAAATGGTAGCATTTGTCTGGTGTCGCGGAGGGATCGCAACTGATATAAAAATAATAAAGCTGACGGTCATTATTCCAGATAATATTTTGAAAATAACTGTCCTATATTTAAATCTTCCATGAGAGACAGTTTCTGAATGAGTTAATTAACAAATATTAAAATAATCATGATTATTAGAAAAGCATTAATAGTAAGAAAGTTAGTAAGTAAACATTTTATTAAGGTGACATGTGTATACAGAATATGATGTATAATTTCCCTATAATTTGCAGTTTCATCCGGCTCATTGGACCTACATGTCTCTTTAGCATACTTTAAATATTTTCATTTACAAAAGATAAGGCGCATGAGGTTATTTAGACGTACATTTTTACTGAATAGAATAAGCTGTGATATTTTACAGTCTGCCTTTCGTTATTTTTCTTAAAAAGTTTAAAATTGTCAGATTCCTTTACATTAAAAAAAACAAAACAAACAACTTATGTCATGGTATGCATTTTAGGCCTAATTATAAAATTGATTTACGTATATGCACACAATATGGCTAAATATTCGACATAAAATTGCAATTTATCAAATAAACACGATTTTCACACGTTAATTGTTTTTTCTGACAGCTAGGTTGGCTGCCCTTGGGGATGACGTGATTAACGCGAGAATGACAGATTTTATTATCAAAAGCGAGAACAACGTTCACAATAATGTGACTGTGGTAAAAGATAAAAGATAAACATTGAGAGGTCAACATTGGACTGTGCATTACAATTCATATATCTTTTTTGGTGAATTTTTGAGGTTCATTTGATACTCGTATTTTTTCTGTTCTAGTTTACAATGCCGTCTTGTCTTAAGACCTTAAATGAAAACAGACTTTAGTCAAGATTTCTGGCCTGCAGGAGCCAAATTTTTATTATGTGTTTTAACTAAATACTGTATGTGTACTTAAAAAAGCGGGCCTGGTGATTGCGCTAAATTTTGAATACGCCAATTTATGTACACGTACAGTAATATGCAAAATTGCAACTTTCTTTTCCAACATTTGATAATTAAAACTCAAGATGATCAAAATCGAAATTATGACTTCGGTGAGTTCTCAATTTATGGTCTTGGGGCCTTTTTTTCGTTGTCCGAGAAACCTCATGTTGTAAAAGATTTTTTTTTCGATTGAAAAACATAAACACCCGTTTTAGCTTATGTTTGATATCTCAAATATGATATAACTTAATAAATTTTTCATTTAAAAAATATTAAAAATAGATTACATAGTTGAAAATAAAATAGTGTCCATAATTGATAAAATGCTGGGGTTAATCGTAACATGAAACTGACAGGAAAGAAAAAGATGCCGGTAAATGAACAAAATGAACAAACGTTTTGATTTTTTTTATTTACATCAATACAATTCACCATTGACAACAAGAACAAAGGGCGACATTTACAAAACAACATGTAGAGATGCATAAGTAAAATAACAACACCTGGTTGTTCCAAGACAACATACCACTAAATCCTGATTTTATTCCTTAAAAATCTATCCGATATAAAACTGTTTGAAAAAAAAAATTAAGACAAAAGAAAAGAAAATCCTATGTTAAGACATTGTTGTGTCCCGAAAGTCAATTCACATAATGAGGGGTGCATTGTTATATTTGTTACAGGTAATAAGTATATAGGGGTCTGATAAATTGGGTATTTTTTCTGATTGTCAATAGTTAAAAAGATAATGCACTGTGTCGCTTCAATATAGTATTCACTTGCATGACAGGAATCGTAATAACCTTGTTGAATACAATGAATTCCAAATTATTCTTAAAATCAATAAAAATGATTTTGTTTCTTCATTCTTCTCTTTCAAAATATCATTCAATATTCAGCGACAAACAGAAAAAGCTAGCGACTTTTATAAGATAACACACTTAATGTATCTCAAACTGAATTTTGTTTAAGCAGATTCGGAGACCTTACTTGTTTAATCTCCAACCGAAATTAATTATCAAAACAATATAAAATATGTTAATCTATATTTTATTTCTGTACTTAAGGCAGTGCAATAACATCACACGTTTCACTCGGGGATAATATAATTCAACGAAAGTGCTATACGTTTATTTGCTTAATTTGGACCGCAGAACATTTGGTTTAAACAGAGAGACTGCACACCAACTCCATCTGTGACTAGATGTAGTCAATATTAATTCAAATATGAAATCTGTAAAGAGTTGGGTCAATAGAATGGTACCCTGTCTACCCCCAACACAACTATAACAACACTTTCACATAGTCCTTCCATAAAATGCGTGCCTACCGTCTACAATACGTACGTCCACTTTACTTTGCTTCAGAACGTGTAAACTACACTGTAAAATTTATACACTGTGAAATTTATACATAGCTATTGATCTTTTAAATTTCACCAGTAAAAAGGAATACATGGCGACAGTGGAATTCAAATAAAAGGTTCAAAATATGACTATTAAGGTACTAATTTATCACGGGACCTTCTTAACGAAATTCATCAACGTCTCTTTAAGGAGTCAAAGAAGATCGAGAAAACAAAATCCGGATAAATAAAACAA